GTGGTACGGTACGGAGGATGAGGGGGCGGGTAAGCTCGAGACACCTTGTGGAATGCTGTTGAGGTTGTAACTGTCGACCGATCAGCTACCTGTACAGTAGGAAGTATGTGTAACGTGGCAATGGTACGTTAGCAGTACCGCTGAGTTGGGGTCGAAACGTTTTTGATAGAACGCGAGAGGCCATCTTTAGACATGGGGTATGGCAATCTTGGATTCCGCGACGGCTATCCATCGTTAAGGAGAAACCGGGTCCGATAGCGATCATGGTGCCTTTACCAAGGATTTACTAGCAGATGAATGGCAAGTGTTAGCATGTGGACCTCGAAACACAACCGAAGAGCGTGTTAAACCCCTGGACCAACCATTTCGTTGATCAATCCGACACAGGGAAAGCTCAGATCTCGCGTCTTGGACACAGAAGTGACAGGGCACCTTCTGTGCAGGGTGTGCAGGTCCACCATTCAGGAATCCTGGAGAACGGCACGATGGGCGAGCATTGAGTCGAGAGCATTTGTACGAGTATGTTTCTGGTAATGTGTAATTGAGGTGGCAGATGGACAACTAGACAATGGAAGTTTCATTCCTTACACAGCCAAGTACGAAGTACTTCGTACCTAAGGTATACTAAGGTACCTACTTAGGTAGGTAGGTAATTAGTGACCGGTGGCCTCGTGGATCATCTTTCCCGTCTTACCTAAGAGATCCGGGGTGTTTCCTTCCCAAGCACAGGTTCCTCCCCTCCGAGGTACTGGATTTTTTTCGACCTGGGCCAAGCTCCCCGGTGTGTGCTGCTGCTTCCTACCTTACTGCCACGTCCCACCCCCCTAAACGCCAATCTGTACATGCCACCTGCCTTACTTCGCCCTACCTCACCTTCCTTGCCTTTTCAATCCATTCTCTACGTACCTTCACTTTTCTTCTTCTCCTGCCGTCTTACGTGCCTTACAAAGTGCCTTCAAGCCTTCCAACCTTACCTCACCTGCGCCCGAGTTCCAATCCGTGGCCTTTTATCCTTCCCTTCCTTTCTCATTCGTTCCTCCGCTCCTTGTGCCCCTTGCCTGTCGTCCCAGCTCCCCCCGTGGCTCTGGCTCTGGCTCTGGCCTCACCTTTGACTTTTCCTTCTGACAACGACAACGACGGAAACCGAGAAATGACATCGAATTAGCATACGTATCATCCTTGCTGCTTTTCGAATTCTTTGGACCCCAGGGTCCTCCATCCTTCGACTCGACTGTCTAGCGCTACCTGCAGTGTAGCACGCGACAGCAATACAACTTCTCCTCCACCGCGCGACGAGAGCCTCGCTCCGGCGAGCCCGCAAACATGATGCCCCGCCGACGGAGCCGTTATGTGATACTTGTCGCTGTTGTTATGGTCTTTATGCTGTATCAGGTCTTCAAAAACCCTGAATGGGATTCCACAGGTCAATCCAGTAGCATCAAGCCCAGCGAACCCGAAAAGGGCCAAAACGTCCATAAGGATTCCTCGAAGCCACCCCCGGCCAACGATCCCGCTTCCAATAAGCACCTCAACAACCAGCCGCCCCCCGATAGCGAACATCCCCACGACCAAGAGGAAGACGAGCCTGAGCAAAACCCTCAGAAGCAGACGGCCAAGCCCACTGTCAAGATTCCTCAGCTCAAGACGGAGAAGGCCAAGGCACCTACCAACACTCTCTCTGGCCCTACTCTTTCCATCCACGCCTACAATGACGAGGTAGAGGCTACCAAGTCGCCCGAGGTTACCCAGGCGCCCACAAAGCCTCTAGAGTTGGAAGAGGACCTCCATGCCAAGAAGCCTCCCGGCCGACCCAACTTTGATATCGCCGAGAGCCTGTCGACCTCGACATCACAGATCCACTGGCGCAAGGTCTCCGAGCACTTCCCCGTTCCAACAGACGAGATCATTCCCCTCCCCACCGGCAAGCCCAAAGACATTCCCAAGATCCAATATGACTTCAAGCCAGAGTCCGAGGCTGCCAAGGACAAGCGCGAAAGGCGCCTAGCCCTGATCAAGGCTGAAATGCTACGATCCTGGGGCGGATACCGCAAGTACGCTTGGATGCACGACGAACTTTCGCCTGTCAGCGGTCGTAACCGCGACCCCTTTTGTGGCTGGGCCGCTACTCTCGTGGACGGTCTTGATACGCTCTGGATCATGGGCATGAAGGAAGAGTTCGCCGAGGCTGTCAAGGCCGTCAAGGAGATCGACTTCACCTACAGCCCGACGCGCCGCGACATCCCGGTCTTCGAGACCACCATCAGATACTTAGGTGGCCTCCTCGCTGCTTACGATGTGAGCGGTGGTAAAGAGGGCGGCTACACTGTACTGCTGGACAAGGCCGTTGAACTCGCCGAAATCCTAATGGGCATTTTTGACACCCCCAATCGCATGCCCATCTTGTACTACAACTGGATGCCCGAGTATGCTTCCCAGCCACACCGAGCTACGACCGTTGGCGTGGCCGAACTGGGTTCGCTAAGCATGGAGTTCACGCGCCTTGCCCAATTGACCGGTAAAGACAAATACTACGATGCCATCGCTAGAATTACCGACGCTTTCGAGGACCTCCAGAACCGTGGCACTACCATCGACGGCATCTTCCCTGAACAGCTGGACGCCTCTGGCTGCAACAGGACCGCAGAAGCCATTATTTACCAAGAGGAGCAGGCTGCGGCTGCTAGTGCGAGTGCGGCCGCTGCTCGATTGAGCGAGCCCCAGGGCCACGAGCCTGCGGCTGCTGAGGCCAAGCGCGACGAGACTGATCCAATTCTGCCGCAGGAAACTGCTGTGGCCAAGGGCAACGGCAGTGAGCCGGAAAGCAACCCACTCGCGAGACGAGCTGTTGGTGTCGACAAGAATGGCGAGTCTGTGGTTGAGAATGCAAACATCGATAACAAGCAGGCTTTCCCAGCGCCCAAGGTCAACGAACAGCCCTTGTACCCTGGCAACAGTGGTCGGAGGCCATCTACTCCTACGACACCTGACAAATCTTCATGGGAATGCATCAAGCAAGGACTTGCCCCTGGTGGCTGGGGGTACCAGCAGTACAGCATGGGCGGTAGTCAAGATTCCACCTACGAGTATTTCCCCAAGGTAAGTTCACTTTGAGAAGTTATACTGGGAAAGAAACTAACTCGCGTAGGAATATCTCGTCCTTGGCGGTCTGGAACAAAAGTACAAGACGATGCACATCAAGACGGTCGAGGCTGTGAAGAAGTGGCTTCTATACAGGCCTATGGTTCCCAAAGAAAGGGATATCCTCTTTTCGGCCAAGGTTTCGACCTCTGGCGACCCCGAAAACGACCTGCGAACTGAGTACGAGGTTACCCACCTCACCTGCTTCATTGGTGGCATGTTTGGCCTGGGAGGCAAGATTTTCGACAGACCCGATGATATTGAGATCGCCAAGAAGCTCACTGACGGATGCGTCTGGGCGTACGAGACTATGCCCTCCGGCATCATGCCTGAAGGAGCCTCTGTCGTGCCCTGCGCGTCTACCAAGAGCTGCCCGTGGAATGAGACTCTTTGGTGGGAGCACCTCGACCCGTCAGCTGACTGGCGTGAGGCACAGGTCAAGGCGTGGGAGGACAGGCAACGTGAGAAGAAGCAGCAAAAGCAGCAGGACGCCCTCCGTAAGCAAACAACTGAACGAGGCAACAAGCCTGTTGAGAAGTCAACCGAAGAGACAATCCAGTCCGAGTCACCCGTCGAAAAGAAGGACCCCCTCGACGATATTCACGTTCCCAAGGATGAGCCGAAGAAGCTAGGATCGGCTGAGAAAACCGAGTACCCAGCTCCTGAGCCTGGACTGAACAAGTCTCCTTCGAACGTTGATGAGCACCTTTTGAAGAAGAGAGATCCTGCTTCGCCAGTGTCTCAAGACCCTCGTAAGGGCACTGCTCAGGAGGCAGCCAGCAACACTCTGAAGGACAAGCTCGACCTGAACAACCCTGGAAGTGCCACCGACGATATCACCGGCAGTGTCCCCAACGATGCACCCGTCAGCGGTGGTATCGTGGGCAAGATCGCGTTCGAAGAGGAGGGAGAGGTTCCTGATCCGAAGCCGCTCTCGCACGAGGAGTGGATCAAAGACAAGTTAGAGCTCGAGAAGATCCCGCCTGGCTTCGTCAACATCAACGCCAGGCGCTACATTCTTCGGTAAGCAATCACTGATTCTCGTTCAGGATTTAAGCATGGCTAACACTCTTACAGTCCGGAGGCTATCGAGTCTGTGTGGTACATGTATCGCATCACTGGAGACCCTGTATGGCAGGAGAAGGGATGGAAAATGTGGGAGGCCATTATCAAGGCGACTCGTACCGAACACGGCAACAGCGCCATTGACGACGTCCTGTCTGAAGATCCCCAACCTGTGGACGAGATGGAGAGTTTCTGGATCGCTGAGACGCTCAAGTACTTTTACCTCTTGTTCTCGACCCCCGATGTCGTCAGCTTAGACGACTGGGTCCTCAACACCGAGGCGCATCCGTTCAAGCGTCCTGTTTGAGGCGGGATGAAGGTGTGGATCCGAGTGTGCGTGTGTACGAGGGCAAGGTGCAGAGAGCATGACTTTTTGGCATAAGATATCACGGGTGGTGGCTACCATGGCGTTGCGGCGTGCTTGTGTTGATTTGCTTGGCATGATTTGCTGGGGCTAAGAATTGTTCATTGTATAAAGCTTAAGAAAAGGTCTGCTAGCCAAATGCTAGTCTGCAGCATAATGATGAGCGATGAAAGTGGCCAAGCCTGTCTTACTCTACCTACCTAAACCTGTCTTTCCTCTGGTGAATGACTGAGCGTTCGTTGATACTGCTCGACGAAGCTGGACACCCCACTATACAGCCATCCCCCATCCATCTTTGACTCATAGTCTTACTTGTCATTTCACGTGAGTTTCTAAACGCAGTCTTCATATCACAGGGGCAGGCAAGAGTTGATTGTCATGTCATGTCAGTCCATTCACTTGGTCGTAGAAATTCCGTTTCATGGTTTGTTTATCATGTTCAATTTCATTTCCTTCACTCATCTCATCTTATCTGTGTCGTCTCGGAGAGGACGCCATTGCTCATCGTCATCTACAGCGGATGACATACTCCTACACATTTCCCATTTCCCATGCGTCCGACTTCGTTTCCCCCATTTCCCTCCTTTCGTATTGCTCGGTGTCGTTTCGTCTCCGTTGCGAGCATGCTGCATCATCCACTGTTCTTAAGAAAGAGGAGGAGCTCATCTATATTCGTCTTTGCTCGCGTGAGCAAACCAACATTAAAAATGACGAGGGGTTCTTTTTGGCAAGACTTCGAAATGTCTTGCCGCCCCATGCCGGCCCGGAATGAAAGCCAGAAAGAGAGGAAAATCAAAAACGCAAAATTCGATATACAACGCCGATGTCCCTGATGCTGATGGCTTTTTTGTGCTGGACGATGAATGTGCTGATGGCGGCAGGGGTTCAAATGATGTCCCCTCCTCGAGAAGCCCTCCATGTACAAGTTTTCCCCTTCGACTCTTGCTTGGGACTCTGTGTCCATCTTCTTCACACGTGTATCGTCGTCCAATCTTTCGTCTCATTCAATCTTCTCCGTCGTCGGCTCCTTAATCAACCATCTGGCTCAGAACACGAATGCTGAGAATCATGACCAGCAAGCCGATGGTGACGATGATGAGCAAAGTGAAGCTGAACCAACCGAGGACCATGGCGGAAGTACCGACACCAGAGCGGACAGCACCGTTACCGAAGTCTTGGGCGATGATCGATGCAGCGACGGATGCGGTGTGCTGCCATAGTACAGAGACCAGCACGAAGATGGAGGCGATGAAGATGATGGCCAGCGAAATCTGGGAAACGGGACGCGAGGGGAAGGGCTTGACTTCGCGGTCGGAACCCTCGGAGTCCTCCTCCTCGTGCCAACCCGGGAAGGTGGCGAGCAGAAGGAAGCAGACGAAAGCGAAGATGATGGCAATGATGCTGAGGAACTGTCAGTATCTACTCTGTGCTGAAAGGTTGGGTAGGTCAACTCACATGAGATAGGGGAAGACAATCATATCCTTGAACTGAGCGGCGAGCCAAATCAAGTTCAGGGGATCCTGATCGACCGACACCTCATTGGCGAGAGCGGTGGCATTGTTGCTGCAAAGCCAACTGCCTCCATCCGGGCTGATGCAGATACCAAAGTATCCAACACGGCAGGCAAGGCGGGCATCACCAGCAATGTTCTCAATGGCGGTATGGACGTTGTAATCAACTTGGGCCGTAGAAGGAACTGCCGTGTAATGGTCATAGTACAGCGACAAGAGGAAGATGTCGGGGATCAAAGGTGATGATGACGAGCATCCTGCCAAAAGTAGAGCTATGAAGGCCGTTAGCATGTGGTTCAGGAGGTCGTGTGGCAGGTCTGAGAAACTCACATAGAAGGATGATGGCGACTGCAATCAAGATCATCAAGACATGGTGGTATCCTAGGAACGGTACAAACCCTGTGATGGCGCAATGTTAGTCGGGGCTCTGTTCTTTGAGCTCGGCAGGGAGATAAGCTGGGAAAACTCACGATACCAGCCTACTTGGAATTTCGGCATCTTGATTGTGTAATCTTACTCCAGTCCTCGAGAGGAATGGCTCTCTTGTTGGTGACCCACGCCGTCCTCCGTTGTAGCGGAGCGACGGAGGGGTTCTAGTCCTGGCACCTCAGCGCTGGCACGCTCGGTGTCTTTCCCTATCGTCGGCGGGAGGTGATCGCGCGAGCGGGGAGGGAATGCGGAGCGAGGGAAACTCGTGGGTCGATGGAATGTAGACGATAAGGTTGCTTGGTTATGGTCGAAGAATCGTGGGTAGTGGGTTGCTGGAGAACACCGCGAGGAATGCGGGACGGTGTCGGAACCTGCGATTAGAGTGAAGCCTTTCCGATTATTGTCAGACGCAAAAACAGACTTCCACTTTTGATGCTTGAGTAGAATGCAAAAGTGAGAGAGTGTGTGAAAGTGTCAAAGTGAAAGTGCGGGTCGGGTCTTCGAAGGGTGGGAAGAGAAGTGGTTTGATGCAGATGCAGGTGCGGATATTGGGATGGCTGGGAGAGGAGAAAAGGACGGTTGGAAGGGTGAACTTAGTTTTGTCTCTCTGCCTGATGATGATCCAGAAGCAGAATTGAAAGCGGGAAGCCCGCAGGTTCGGGGCGAGCGGGAGAGGTTTGTACGTCTGCAGAATGAAATATTCAGATGGCTGGGAGGGAAGAAAAAGGTCGATGGATGGATGTATGGATGGATGGTCTGGAGACTGGAGAAGAGGAGCAGTGACAAGTTTGGGAAGAAGAGACGTCGACGAGGATGCGCAATTGGTCCTGCCATCCACTTTTTGGTCAGAAAGGCTGTGCGGCGGTTGCGATGCTTGGTGTCTGGGTCACTAGGAAGAGCATCCGTACGTTGAAGGAAGCTACGTAGCTACGCCAACCTCCTCTATTTACTCTTGGTACTGCGGCCGTTGTCCGGGCGATTCGCAGCGTCGCAGCGGTTCCTGGGCGAGCAGGGAGGAAGAGTGGGGCCACACCTTTAAGAGGTCCGGTACGTACCCGCTAGAGTTGTCTGGGGGAGGCCCCTTCGCTGCGTATTCTGTGGCTTTTAGTGGCTTTAGTGGGAAAAGAACGGGTCCCACCAGCGCGGGAAACAGGCCTGAGAGGTTCGAAAAAAAGCCCGGTGGCTGGGTGACGTCTTTTCAGGGGTCCCCCGTCCCGTGTCCCCCGTCAAATCTAAGGCCGCATCTTTAGCCCAAACCTCTGCGCGTGTCTGTCTATGTACATAGGTACCCTAGCGGTTAGCCTCGTCAGGTCCTGCCAATTCTCAGCTTCTCTTCTACCTTATCCAGTTATGATCTTAGCTGCTTAGCTGAGCTCCAAGCAGCGCAACACGCATACTCCAAAAGTCCAGAGCTCTCTTCAAAGACCCCTTGTCGAAACTTCCTTAAGTGGGCTGTTCTAACGCTCGCGCTTCCTCTTGTACTTGTATCTCGCGGCTTTCCCTGTTTGTCTTTCGCTTGCTTCAAGCTTGCCCCTCGCCATACCCAATCCAACAGGCACACGACTCGACTCGAGACGGCATCTCGGCGGTTCCTGCATTGGAGATGAGACCCGAAGCCGGGGTCCGGCACATCGCGTTGGTTCCTTGATTTCGTCCATTCGCTCGTGTCGAGTCTTGGTGATGCGTTGTTCCGGCGCACCAAAAGTCCGTACAAAGTACGGATTCTAGCCCTTTGCCCCAGTTGGCATGGCGACAGCATGAGAAACACAAAGTCCCGGATGACAGCCAAGAATCATCCTCGGGTTCTTTACGGATACAATCACTCGGCGCCCTGCCACATATTCCTACTCTCTTACACAACAGCTGAGGCTATTCGCAGTCGAACTCCCCTGCTCTGCGGATACATCTACTGCAGGAACCCCAGGCGGCTCCGTGTTTCCCATCGAGACCCATCGATTTCTCACCCCCACTATGCAAAGTCCCATCTTCTTCGCCTCTGCAGCGGTAAGCTACACCAACACACCGCTCGATTTGGCGGTCAATCTCACTCTTCAGCTCGAAACCGTCAGCCTATGGATTATAACCCTCTTGTGGCTGCAAGACTGTCATTTAGACACCTGTCACAGCTGTCGAATGTCAGCCATTCCTCCTGTCTCTCTCCCTCTCTCACGGGTCCGCATTGACCGTCTTCGCTGGGTGTTAGCGCCGTCTACCTGCGGTGCCCGAGTTGCCGGAGTTGCGCAGATCACGGGAGTCTATGTGTTTGCCTTCGCCCAGCGCAGCGGCTATCAACACTGCCATCCTTGGGTGACTTTCTTCGATGGCGTTGGAAAACTGTCACAATATGAATCCGTTCGCGAAGGAATACGCCTGGCAAGCCATTGACGCAATCTATATGCGATTTCGCCTGCCTCGTCGAGCCGGTTGCCGATTACACGGACTCAACGCCAAACGGTTGTTCTTCAGAGAAGGAATCACAGCCTCTTAAGAATTGCCAACGAAGAGCCCGTGATGACTCACTGACAAGATGATTAAGCCTCACAGTAAGCCCTTGGTGACGACAGATATCTCAGCCACGTAAGAAGTCCTGAGTTGGTCGCTTTATTCGGGAACCGCAGAAGCCGGCCTCCGGCCTCATCGACCCTGAATAATATGTGGCTGGTAAACAGAGGTCATTGCGCTATGGCCAAGACTCAGATGCACTCACTGCTTCAGTCGATGCCCTGTCATTTGAAGGACCATAACGTTGATGGGTTCCCCAATGATCTTGACATCCAACAGAAAAGAATTTCCTAGTTCATGTGAGAATCGCAAGACGCTCATGGATATCCATGAACTACCTTTGACAGCAGCGATTCCCAATTATGTATTACATGCATGTACCAGATTACGTAGCTGTCGTGCTGTTGCCAAATATGCCTATACCGTGCAGAAACTCCATATCCGCGTAATTGCATGTGCCCCACCACTTGCTGTCCTCCCTCAGCTCCACGTCATTGTTCAGACCACAGTCGCAAAGTGAAGGTTCAAGAATGACACTTGGTGCGCAAACAGCTACAACAAAGACTGGCCCGACATGAGCACGACGTTTGGAGACCGCGCTCAGGCGGGCGCTCTAGATATCCGCGTCGAAGATTTTCTCGACGACAAGCTCCAATCCACCACCGATCTCGAGAACCTCGACTCCCTCATCGCCAACGTGGAGATCCAGCGCAGCCAGCTCCAGACCCAGCTTGACAATGCCATCAAACAGCTCGACGAAGCTCGCCAGACAGCCGGCTACCGCCAATCGTCCCTCGCACAGCGTATCCAAGACTTCCAGGAGCTCCAGCACAGCATCGATATCCGAGTCAAGATAGCGGCCGCATCCGACGCCCCGAACCAGGCCATCGCAAGGCTGCAACAGCCTATGAAGAAGCTGCAGACAATCGAAACCGCCCAGAAATACCTGACGCTGCTACAAGATGTCGAGAACTTGCGGACCGAAGCTCGCTCGCACCTTCCCGACAGCCCAAAGGCCGCTCTGGAGCCGTACTCGAAGCTCAAGCAATTATCGAGGCGCCTGGAGGAACTCTCAGGGCCGGCTGATGATGCGGCAGTACATCTCGTGAATCACGTGCGGAGCGTTGCCGATGCGCTATGGGACGAGATGAAGAAGACAATGTCCAGCGAGTTGGAGACTGTTCTCAGCAAGAGGTCGTGGCCCATGGTGGAACCTAGCTCTGAAATGGACGACGAGTGGCTCGCCTGCTTTGAAAAGTTGCTGGACCTTCAGATTCCCGAGGTTATCCTGAGCAAGTCCACCGTCAGCCTGCTCTCGTTCGATGTCATGTCACGAATCTTCATCTCGGAGTTTCGATTCCACTTTCTCAGCGACAAGCCGACGAGCAAACCTGATGCTATTGGGTCGCATTGCTTCCCCTGGTTCTTGGCAACCATTGAAAAATGGGAAGACTTCTATAGGGACAACTTGGGTTATCTACTGGCTGCCAAGTTCCGCGATACCTCCGCGGGTAACAGCCTAGTATACGTTGATCCAGTCTGTGCTTTCATCACCAGCATGCTGCCCGTTATGAGAGAGAAGGTCCAGAATGTGGTTGCAGAAACGGCCAAGAACCCTGCCTTCTTGAGCAGCTTCATGGGGCAGTTGATGACATTCGATGAGAGCATTCGGACAAAGTTTAACTACGACGGCGGTGATCCAGACCAGGGCTGGCCTGGCCTGGCTACGGAGGTCTTGGAGCAGTGGTTCGAGCCTTGGTTCCAAGCAGAGAAGGAGTTTGCTCTCGAGCGCTTTCAAGCTATCATGGATAGCTCCGATGCACGAAATATCGACTACGATTACGCCGTAACGGGCAAGACAAAGCCGACTTTCGGCGCAGTGCGCGTCACTGATCTGTTGAGGTCTATCACAGCTCAATACGAGAGAGTGCGCGCCTTCAAGCACAAGATTCGGTTCTTGATTGGTATTCAACTCGATATTCTCGACGAGTTCCATGACCGTCTGCGTGGCTCTCTCGAGGCCTATCAAGCTCTCACATCGACAGTCGGCAGGACTCTGCACGGTGTCACGAAAGAACAGCTTGCGGCTCTCGAAGGTACTGGTAGTTTCGAGTCTCTATGCAAGGTTTACGGCAGCGCAGACCACATTGTCAACACGCTCAAGGACTGGGGTAACGAGGAATTCTTCGTTACGTTGTGGGACCAATTGCAGGGTCGGGCGACCAAAGAAGGCGAGACATCGAGGATGTCTGGCGAAATGAGTTACGAAGAGGTCAAGGATCGCACCTCTGCTGCCGTTGGCTCCGAGGCTAATGATGGCGTCCTCTTTGATGAGACAATCGCTGCGTACAGCCTCAGACGCAAGACAGCGCAGGAGTTCCTTGTGAATGCGCTAGCCGACTCTCATTACAAGGCCTTTCGAGCATACGCGACACGGACTCACTGGACAACTATTAGTGACAGTGGTTCCGAGAGTGAGTTTCCAACGTTCAATGCATTATCATGCACAACACTGACCAAGTACTAGTTGATCCATCGCAACTTGCTGTTACACCCGAGCTTGACGAGCCGCTCAGAGTAGGTCTTCCCGCGACTCAACTTTTGACGTCTTCCCTAACCTTGACCAGATCCTCAAGCGCAATTTCGACTTCCTGCTCAAGGCTATTGGCACTGCAGCGTTCCGACGCACATGGCGCTCCGCACTGGACAAACTCCAAGACCTGCTTTGGGGCGAGGTCTTGATGAGGCAGAGCTTCACCGCGTTTGGTGCCGCCCAGTTCACGCGTGACGTCAATGCCATCTTCTCCCTTGTGGAGAGGTATATCCAGAATGGTGTAGGGTCATTGGGTAGTCTGTTTGACGCGCTGAAATTGCTCAACCTCCCGAACGAACCCCAGGAGGGCACTTTGTCGCTCAAGGCCGCTACGGATCGGGTGTTTACCGATAATACGGAAGCCAAGAAGCTTTTAGAAGAGCTGGATATTGACACACTCACTCCCGCGAATGCTAGACATATTTTGCAGCGCAGGGTGGAAAACAAGGAATAGGCTGAGATTCCCTTGCAGCAGGCAGGCTCAGATCTATACAGACTAAAACGAAGCTAGGCACTGATAACTTGCAGATGCCATACCGTCGCAAGCTGTTGTGATAGATCCTAGACAATTCATGACCCTGAATGATTCTATTTTGCCAAAACCCCAGCGTGTGCATATTCTAGTAAATGAATCTCAAGATATATAGCCCTAATTTATCCATCCCATCTCCCATCTTTTTTTTCTCCAATTCCAAACAGAGAGATGCTCAGCTAATAGCACGCATGGTCAACTCGACCGTGGCAAACGTGCCAGCACTCACGGGCATAGCCCTCAACAGCGTCGGCACGATACCCCTCCAGAACCCGCGGAGCCCCTCGCCGCGGTACGTCTGCGCGAAGCAGTCCCGCATCGACTTGTACCGCTGCTCCTTTCCGAACCCGTCCGTCTGCATCTTGCTCTTGATCACGTCAAAGGGATAACTGCTCAGCCAGAGCGCCTCGCCGGCGAGACCGCCGTAGAAGGCAATCTTGTAGGGCGCGATGTCCTTGCGGTCCATGTTATTGCGCCGCGCGTCGGCGTTCATCATCCACTCGAACGCCAGGAACCACACGCCGTAGGCCTGCGCCTCGCGGAGGATGGTCACGGCTTCGCCGCGGTAGAGGCCGTTGTTCAGCACACCGCCGTGGGAGGCGAGTTTGCGGACGCAGTCCAGGGGGCCGGAGTAGAGACGGGCGGCGCCGTGGGGTTGGGTTTGCAGCCTGATGCGGACGTGCTCGATGGGGCCTGAAATTACCGAGTTTGCGACGCCGGCGAAGGCGCCCGAGGCGTAGTACTGGGCGTACGACAGGGAACCCGTGGAGCCGTTGCGGGACTCGAAGAAGCGGCGGGCTTGGTGGAAGCCTGCGAACTGGATGGAGACGCAGGCGCCGATGCCGAGGAGGGGGGTGAGGGTTCCCTTGTAGAAGGCGAGGGCACCTTCGTTTTTGTAGATTTGGGTTGCGGCGTTGAGGGCCGTTGTCGGGGTTGTTGAGGTTTGGAGGCGGACTTTTACAATGTCGAAGGGTTGACCTGCAGGGTGTTAGCTTTCTTTCCCAACTGATTTCAGGAATGCGGAAATTTGATTATTTCCAGGGCTTTGGGAGAGGTCTATAGGGTGGATTGCGTGAGAATGAGTTGGTGGACACTTGAGATCGCCATTGTGTGAGGTTCGGCTGTGATTCCGAAGTCGGCTCCCAAAAAGGCATCTCAAGCTCATCTCATCGCAAACCCTCTCCCTCTCATTGTTCTGCGCAATTGAACAACGTACCGAGTAAGACCTGGGCAACACCGCCCGCGGCGCCAGAAAAGAGGTCCTTGGCTGTCTGCAGGGCACCGCCCACAACCTCGGGCTCAACCGCCGCGTCCGCCATCGTGTCTAGCCTTTTCGTTTCGTTTCGGTCTGTTTGCCGAGCTTCACTCTCAATGCCTTTGCCCCGCCACCGTTGATCGGCGCGCGCCCTCAAAAGGTCCGTTGGGGAAACTCCGACTATCAACGACAGTAAATCTCACAGCTCGAGATCGGGTCGACTGACTAGAGGGCGTACCGAAGACAATTGGTCTCGGGGAATGCGTAGGAGGTGAGGTTCGTCGGTGAGGGTTGAAAGGGAAATCGGCGACCACTTGTCCCGGTTTAAGCTCAATGAGATTATTTATCAAGAAGCCACCCCCCAGACACAGATAAGGCAAGCTGTCTGTGGGGACATGCAGGGCGGTCATGGCGTGCTGTTGCTAAGCCGTTTACGGCGGCGGTGAGGGTTCACCTTGATGAGTAAGCTGGTTAAGCGCGACAGCGCGGTTATGAGGTCGGCGAGGCCTTCCCAAGTTTCCTCATCTTTCAAAGCCCACACTTGTTATAAGTTCATATCGAGATGTAGACTGGCTCTTGAATTCTCCCTATGCTGCAATATGTTTCGAAGTGACCTCCTGCCACAAGCTAGGGTTGGGTGCAAGTAGTCGAAGCGTCTACTAGTATCACAATCTCACTATGTGTATACAACCAATCGAGATTCTTGTATTCGTATCCATTTGTCACTTGTTTTCAAAGTTCGAGATGCTATTATAATGAATGCCAGACTGGTGATTGCTGTAAAGGTCAGCGGTGACAGCTGCGTGGCCCAAGGTCAAGGTAGTGGGAGCTACCCCACCAAGCATGTACCTTGACCCCTCACCTCGGTGAACAGGCCACCGTAGATTGGGCAGTACCGTCACTGCAGCTCCCCCTCCACACCGTTACGAAAAATCGCGAGTTCCTACCAACATCAGAGAGATGCGCTGAAGGCAAACATCAGCTCAATTTCACAATGTCGGCAGCGGGAAAGAAGCCGGAGACGGCTGTGTATGTCTACCCACCTCGTTCTTTGCCGCGCACAAAGCTGACCATTTTTTTAACCACACGCATAGCAAGGACGCCACGCCCAGCAACCCTCGAGGTATTCCCAAGGCGCCGTTCGTCGACAAGGTCGAGGACTACGTCACCACCCGCGAAGATGTCGAACCGACGATGCGCAACTTCCAGGAGATGATCTCGTGAGTCGCCCACGCGCCCGCTTGCCCGCCCGCCGGGTGGGCTGGTCATGCCACGCCAGAACTTCGGTCCGACGCATCGAACGAGGCTATCGGGAAGAGCAAGGCCAGGCTAGGCACATGGGAAACAGCTGGTAACACATCGTTCTTCTGCGCAGGAAATACCAGTTCATGGAGCTGAATCTTCAGAAGAGGATGGCTGGACTGAACGACAAGATCCCCGATATCCAGAAGACGCTCGACTCTGTCCGATTTCTGAAGCTCAGACAGGTAACCAGCCGCTCACGGATGTGTTCATTGACAGGAGGCGCTGAAATAAGAGATAGGACGATGATGAACCGATCGAGACGACATTCGAGCTGAACGATACGCTTTACTCCAAAGCAAAGATCCCGCCCACTGAAGAGGTGTACATTTGGCTAGGCGTATGACATTGACTGCTCCGCAGTAGACACTACCATGAGTTTGAAAGGCTGACTGTACAACAGGCCAATGTTATGTTGTCGTATCCCGTCGACGAAGCCGAGACCCTACTCGAGTCCAAGTTATCAACGGCGAAAACGAGCTTATCAAACTGCGAGGAGGACCTGGATTTCCTGAGAGAGCAGATCACGGTAACATTTGGCACCCGGGCGAGACGGGCTCGATCGCGCATACTAATCATTCACAGACTATGGAAGTCGCCATCGCGAGAGTATACAACTGGGAGGTGGTTCAAAAGCGGAAAGACAAGGAAGAAGGAAAGGATATCAAGAAGGAAAAGGACGAGGATAAGGCTGGCAGTTAAAAAAGCGAAAAGCTCGATACCAAACAAAAAAGAACTTGATGATATTCTGCCACTTCTTGCACAACCGCAATTTCATGGCACAGCATAAACCAGCAGCTATGTGTTTATACAAAGACGATCCGGATCGTTGGGCCGTCGGTTCAAGCGATGGCCCTGTAGGCTTACGAATCACGACTAGGGTCATGTATCCGTAGATGATTTAATTTCCAGGTCGTGGCTGAAGGCTTTCGATTATCGATACCCCTTTATGGCATTGCAACGATCACGAAAGCGAACTTGGAGGTTTTCGTTAGTGCCGTGCAAAATCGCAGACTACCGGTACAACGTCACAGCATAGCTATGCACGTATGATGTTTAATCCCTGGTGGCCAACCTGTCAGAAATCCATCCCAGGTTAGCTAAACTTAGTAAGGAAAGTTTTAGCCATTGGATCAGCCGCCATCTCGATACCACCGGCGCTGGTCCGGTGCAGCTGACCGTGACCGAATCATGACAATTGAGAACGACGCCCGCAAGCTAAGATCTGAGACGATGTTGGGCATGAGGTGGCAGACTGCACCAATCTACAGCGGCTCTGGGTGCTCGTGGGTGGGAATCCAGATCATTACGTAAGGCTGGGCTGTGGTGGAAGGACATACGTACTTCGTATCTTAATAAGATGCGGGTGCCGTGGCAGGCGTGGCACCGTGGGTGCGTACGAACCTGAGTACGAAGTACCCGTAGCTGCGTAAGTGCGGTGTAGACGGCCGGCTAGGTTCGACGGGAGAGCCCAATTCGTGAGGGGCAGCCAGGGGCAACAGCGGTGCGGGACCGGTCGCTATGACGATTTTTGGCATTCTGCCAGCAGGTTCACTTTAATTCGACTTCTCAAGCCTCCCCTACTTTCCCGCTAGAGATCTTCCTTTCCCTTACCTTTCCCCACAACCAGCTCTTCTCTCCTAAACACCTACAATCCTGGTTGGTAACTTTCTTCAGGACAAATAACTTGTTGCCGCTGACCTATTGTCTCCGAATCCCATCACCTCTCCTCCACCCCGCCTTTTCCCTCTCTCTTTTCTTTCTTGCTTTGGAGGGCTCTGCAAAATCCCTCTAGCTACACCGATCTTCTTTCCTCGTCAACGAGAAGACCCCTAAAACAAAACCCCCACCATGTCCCAGCAAGAACTCGATCCCAAGTACGACCAGTACGACTACCCGACCGTCGCCCCGACGGCGGCCAACGGTCACCCTGGCCACCTCACCCCCGAGCAGAAGGCCCAGGTCGCCCAGCTGCGCCTGATGCTTGAGTCGGATGGCTACGACAAGCGCCTCGACACCCTGACTCTGGTATTCACTCCCCTCCTGTGGCAGACACCCAACTGTCGGAGACCTGCGAATTTCACATCCAGAGCAGCTTACTAACAGCTGGATGATAGCTGCGCTTCCTCCGCGCCCGCAAGTTCGATGTCAACCTCGCCAAGCAGATGTAAGCGGTGTCTTGTCTTCCACATCAGATCGTGCAATGTGTAGCTGACGAATACGATTTAGGTTCGTCGACTTCGAGACCTGGCGGAAAACGACCAAGCTTGACAACACCGTGCCGACCTGGGAATACCCCGAGAAGGAGGAGGTGTTCAAGTTTTACCCCCAGTACTACCACAAGACCGATAAGGTACGCCGCCTTAGGAAAGAGACAACTTGCTCGGTAGAGTCACACACTAACGCACTACTTCACAGGATGGCCGCCCCGTCTACGTTGAACAGCTTGGTGGCATCGACCTGAACGCCATGTACAAGATCACCACCGCCGAGCGCATGTTGACCAACCTGGCCGTCGAGTACGAGAAGTGCGCCGACCCCCGCTTCCCCGCCTGCTCCCGCAAGTCCAACCACCTCGTCGAGACGTGCTGCACCATCATGGACCTCAAGGGCGTCACCATCACCCGTGTCCCCCAGGTCTACAGCTACGTCAAGCAGGCCTCCGTCGTCTCCCAGAATTACTACCCCGAGCGTCTCGGCAAGCTCTATATGATCAACGCTCCCTGGGGCTTCTCCACCGTCTGGTCCGTCGTCAAGGGCTGGCTCGACCCCGTCACCGTCTCCAAGATCAACATCCTCGGCTCCGGCTACCAGAAGGAGCTTCTGAACCAGATTCCCGCCGAGAACCTTCCCAAGTCTCTTGGTGGCAAGTGTGAGTGCCAGGGTGGCTGCCAGCTCAGCGACGCCGGCCCGTGGCACGAGGCCGAGTGGACCAAGGAGCCCTGGTGGCAGAAGCCCGAGGCCAAGGCCGCTGCTGCTGCCGGCGGCGACGTCATTGAGAACAAGGGCGGTGAGACCGTTACTGCTCCGGCTGCCGGCGGTGCTGCTCCTGCGGCTGCTGCTACTGCTGACGCCAAGGCTCCTGCTGCGGCATAAACGTTGCCCTTTTAGGAAATTGCGTGCATTGGAATTGAGGTTGTTCATTTGAGAGTGGCGCTGCCGGATGAGCAGTTAGAGAGAAGGCGTTGACAAATGTGGTGTTGTGTCTTGAGGTGAAGAAAGACACTTGGGTTGGGTGGAAGATGGGGGTGGCTACCTAAAAACAAGAGCATCTTTTCTTAGAACCGCTCATACACGTGTTGATCCTGGCAACCTTTGCTATTTCACATTATACATACTTTCATTTTGATCAGTGGACCCCAGTGAATAGCATTTTCGCAAAGCAAGAGACCATCGTCTTTCTGCTTCCCAGACTTTATTAGACTGCAATCAGCACACATAATAAGCACTGACCATGGGTCATCGGCCGTCTGGCAGGATGCCCTCTGTTGTGGTATAAGTTCCCAACGCCTCAACTCCTACAATGCAAAAGAATCCCACTCTCGTGAAATTCCCTCACGATCGTTCCGTAACAGTATACTCCCCAGCAACCCTCGCCCTCTCCATCTTGGCAACAGTAGCAGGCATCGTCTTCTTCAACCTCCCCAACCCGCCCACCGCGCCCCCAAACGCCTCCTTCACCTCGCCCCTCCTCTCCATCGCCTCGAGCGGGAGCACCTCGGCCTCCATCTCCCTCGCCTCGTCCTCTTTCAACTTTTTAGCAGCCTCGAAGGCGGCCTCGTCCGCTGCCGCGGCGGCTTTGAACTCGTTCGTGGCGGCTGTCGCGATGGCGCCGGGGACGGATTTTTTGAGGGCGGCGATTTCGTTGAGGAGGTCTTCTTCTTCGCGCGCGAGGTCTTCGACGCGCTGGCGGAGGCGGGCGTCCCAGGGTTCGTAGGCTTCTTCTGGTTCGTCTGAGGATGCGTTGTTGGAGAGGAAGGCTGACGGGTCGGTGTCCATGCCGTTTATAGAGAGGTTTGGGGCTGCGTAGGTGAATGTTTTGTCGATGTACTGTGTTATGAGAGATGATGTCAGCGGGGGATCTTGGGGATCGGTGTGGTTCGTTTTCTTCTGCCTCGAGGAAGAACACAAACGCAAAGATCCAACAGGCCGTTACCACGAGAGAGAGAGCGAGATTTTGCGGCACGGCATAGTTGAGGCGGAATTCGTCGGGCTTACCTCGTTGACTAGACGCTCAATAGGCGCCCGCAGCTCGTCCTCTTGCGCATTGCTGCCCTCGATGTGCGGGAACGCATTGTCGAGCTGTTCCTGCGCGGCGCGCCGGACGTTGGTGAGCAGGTACGCGAGGTCGTCGCGGGACTGTAGCTCGATTTTCCTATGTGCGTCCTCCATACTTGTCTACTCGTTTCCGTTTCCTCTCCCCTTCTTCCTTTTTAGGGCCTTACTTTTCTTTCACTCTTTTTCTTCCTTCTTCACTAACACATTCGAGTGGGATCCTAGAGGGTTTGAGAAGGGCGGTCTGTGTTGAGAGTTCCTAATTGCCCCTTTTGGAGGGGGAGACTCCTCGAGTTCGATTCGTCTCACGACGTTTGTTGGCGCGTCGTGGGTGGTGGGGTGTCGAGTCGTGGTGGGATGTGTTTGTCCTCGATGTGGATGTTTACTTGCGCCTGGTTTGCTTGACGACGGGACGGTCCAGTTCCATTCGACACCACCTCACCCCGGTCAGTGGTCCCCCCATCGGCGCGCGTCGAGCCCGTCGTCCGATCTGACCTGTGCTCCTCCCAACATCCAGCTAGCCTTATCAGAGGCTAGTGTATCTCTATCTTATCTCCCTATCAGCATGTGACGCTCCCCAGACTAACGTAGGTACCTCAGGTAGGTACCGACCTTGAATGACTGAATCGATCCCAATGCAACGCCAGCGACCCAACCCCGAGAACTGCCGAGATCGGACAGTCGCTCCGAAGAGGGTCAGCGAATGGTTCGGTGTGGAATACAGACCAGTAAGGTAGACCTGTTCCGTTCACCTTTGAGAGGAAAGGATGGGCGGGGGCACTGTGCGGAACAAGCATCACCAGAAAAGAAACCCTCTCCAATTTTAGTTTTACCTACATACAGCTTTGCCCTCATGCATTGCATGAATGCTGCAAGGGGAGAAAGAGAGTACCTACACTACAGTAGGTATGGGATCATCCGCCAAGGTCACGAGGTGCAGCGGTCCCACGATCCAGATCTTGTTCAGAGGGATGGGCGAGAAGGGATCGACGTCGATAGTCAATATAGGAGAGACATGAAGAATGACGACCGGTTCGGTGTCGGGACACGGTGTGTGTGTGTGTGTTTGCGGCACTAGCCGGGCTACCATGTTCAAAATAGCATCACAAACTTTCCCTGCCCATACACATTCATCCAACAACTTATGCTTCCCGGCCGAACCGAATATGCTATGTCGTACAGACTAAAGAGCGCCTGTCTAGGTGGCACAACGCAGGCAAAATGGCCCAAACTCTTTTTTCCTACTTTGAACGGCGGTAGGTAGTCTCGAACTTGGCATTCTTGCTGGACGTCCGTCCCCTTGTCCGTCTGTCTGGGTTGATGCATCTCGGCGCTATGACTGCGAGACTGGGACGGACTTGCATGGGGGGAGCACAGAGGATAGACGATTTTACCGCACCATCGAATCAAAACCAAAGGGGGTAGTTTCGAGGACTTTCAAGACTGCGTTTCTTATCCGTACGTACTACGCATGGAGGTACGCTGAACGCTCATAATGAGAAAATTGCGGGGCGATGGTTTACGGGATGGTTCAGCTGGTTGATGCAGCTGGGGTAAACGCTGTTTTGTGTCACCTATCAAGGTGAGAAAGAACCGGCACGGTGCGGCACACCTTGGTGCTCAGCGAGGGAAAGAACCGGGACATCTTGTCCCAGACCTTGCCTTGCCTTGCTATTCTTCTTTTCGCAGAGCGTACATCGTGTCTCACTTATCTTCCAATTCTGAGTGTTCCCGACAAGCAACGGGAAAAGCCAAAGGACCAAGTACCATCATCGATCGCACTTACACCACCCATATTCCCATGTCACAAACGTGGGGTTCCCCCCCCTTCCCAAGACGGGTAAAGCCCACAGCGAAAGCGGAGCTTCCTTTGCTTGGAAGGGGTTTAGGTGCCATGGCGTTGTCGGTCCTCGGGTGTGTGCGGTGAAGGTACAGTACAGTAGCGCCGGGCCTGCGGTGCTGGCGGTCTTCCGCTGGTCTGGAGCCAACCCAAGGTAACTGGACCCTCTTTCTCAGAACGCCATCTGGGACGGAATGGCGTCCAAACAGGCCACACCGACGACAGTGCGCCGGGAGGAGGGGGGCTAACAGTGACCAGAGACCTGAGGTTTCGAGTCAGAAGCTGAAGGAGGCCCGTTTCAGCGATTTTCAAAGATCAACATGATACTGTTTGCACTTATTCAATGATTGTGACTATTGGGCTCTCAGTAAGGCATGCACTTATGGGGTGTCTGCAAGACAGGTGGTTGGTTATCGGCCGGTCTGCCCAATTACTCCGACGGTACCCGTGGACCCTGACGTGGTACCTGGCTGGCTTGCGCTACCTTACTGCCCAAACTCTCGTAGAAAGAGAGACAGGAACATGCTTGATAGGCTCAAATGAACGCCATAAATCAGTACATTGTGTGAATCACGGTGACGGACGGCTTTTGACTTGTATAGTGTCCTTGTGACGCTACCTTATTGAACTATGGAACGGGAGGAAAATCAATGAAAAGGGAAAAGCCGCGGTAAAGGCGGCATAGTACACGATCGAGGAGGGTATGTGCTTGCAATCCCATGGAACGCCCCAATCCAAAAGCAAAGCAAACGGCAACAAACAGATAAGAAATGTAACTTGAGTCAAGGAAACCCGTCTCGCCAAAACGATCCCAACTCCCCCGATGATTCCCAAAGGCCGGTGCCACTAATAGCTCCTCGATGTCGGAGATGAAGGAAATGCGACTTGTACTGTGTTTCCACTTGGTGTACTCCCATGCAGGTTCGTATCCGGATCGAACATGGGCCCATTTGCCGTAGTGGTTCGTTTGTAAAGCAGTCTGATAAAATGATGTAAAAGAGTCGGAGGGGGTACAGGTCGTGGCCGGACGCCGTGTTGTGGAAAGAAAATGTGTCTCGTGAGAATCGTCGGTCTAAGCGCTCAGGACGTAGATGTTCATGTGTAGCGTCATGGCCGTCTCTGAGGGACGCCGTTATTGGGGAAACATGTTGTTGATCTCCTCATCGCTAAGGACAATCTCGTGTACGGGCTCCCGTCGGTTCTCGAGCGGGGTGTAGTCACAATCGACATACGACGGCAGGAAGATCTCTGAACAAAGTGATCAGCAAGTAATGGGAAGAGAGATCGGGACAACCTTCACTCACCTGGGTTCCACGCAAAGCCCTGGCTCGAGGAGAGGTAGGTGATCTGGATGGCCTGTTAGCATGCGTTCCCTGAGGTGGACGAGAGTGGTCTTACAAGGCGGGGAGTTCCGTTTGGTTCGCCGATGTTGATAACGGTGCTTTCCTGCTTCGACAAGGCGGAGCCTGTCCGTGATGTGAGCAAAGGTCCCAAGTTGACATGTACAGAGTCCGAGACAGGCATGTCGGGCAAGGCTGCAGGCCCGGGCTGTGTAGCTTCAGAGTAAAGTGGGATGACTTACTGAGAAGGCTAGGACGACGTTCATGGACCATCTTTCGCTTCTGAACGGAAGTCGGGGAAGATGTTTGAGGTGAACTGGAGTATGTCGACGAGGAAGAGCTAGCAGCACCCCGGACCTGGGGTGACTGGTGGTGGTGATATGTGTTGGCCGACGACGGGGTCATCGGGATTGCAATTGACGACGACATGATGTATGTAGTTTCGGGGGGGGGAACAGAGGGAAGACCCCAAGTAAGATGAGACGATAAAGTTCAAGAGTGATTGAAAGCAGTCAGAGAGATCGAGGAGAAGCACGAGAGAACGCACACCGGGAAACAGGTCATGTATGGTAGAGAAGCAGTGCAGCGTCAAAGTGAAGCAGATGTTGAAGGAGTCAGAAGTATGATTAAAGGTACGAGAATGGAGAGAAGGAGTGCCTGTGACTGTACAGTGCTAGGTCGGCTTGCTGGACGAAGGCCCAACGAGGCACCCGGCCGGTGAACACATCATCCCATGGGGGGGTTGATAAGAGATAGGTGCCGGAGTAGCAGGCCGTGCTAAGGACCGACGGTGACACTCACCGACGACTCTAACAGTGGAATTGCGGGAGAGACCCTCACATCATCATGGCAGGGATCTAGTGCCGTCTCCACAGTACATGGGGGCAGGCGTCCCCACCTGAGGCCAATCGGAGGTCGTCGCTGCCTCCAGTCTGGGTAACGTGCTGCAGGCACTTCGCCTTGCTACAAGTCATCCGCTGAGCCAATCAATCAACCAAAGAGTGTCCAGTGGGGGCCTGCCTGATATCCCGCCAACACGTGACCTCGAAGCTTCGACCAGGTTCCTGACTAAGCTGGGCTGGGCTGAGAGGCTGCGCTGCATGCGTATCCGATTGACGCCTACAGCCAAGCTCGAGCAAGCAAGCACCACCACCACCCAGCTTGAAATCAACAACCTTGCCATCATCAACGACACCGCCCATCCTCCGCGAACTCACATCCTCTACGAACTTCGAGGCATCTCGAGTAACGAAACCCCTTATTCCACGCCTTTAATACCCAGCAAATATACGACACAATGGGTGACGTCTTGGTGGAAAACCCGGCCAACCAAGTCGCCCCTCACAAGAAGACAGCTCCCTCAACAATCCCTAGTATTGAGAACTTTGAGGGCATCGCGACGGAAGGTGGTGATGACTATGCCACATTGAAGAAGTTGCAAAGACAACTGGAGTATATTCAGTTGCAGGAGGAGTACATCAAGGATGAGCAGAGGTTCGATACTCGCACGATCACTGCGTGTCATCTGGTTTGCTGACCCGCTGGCGTAGGAGTCTGAAGCGCGAGCTTGTCCGAGCTCAAGAGGAGATCAAGCGAATCCAGAGTGTTCCTTTGGTGATTGGGCAGTTTATGGAGGCCATCGACCAGAAGTATGCAGACCCCCGCAGACAGCTCCCGCTTCGAGCTCAACAATGCTAACTCATCATAGCACCGGAATCGTACAGTCATCCACGGGTTCGAATTATGTCGTCCGCATCCTTTCCACCCTCGACCGCGAGAAGCTCAAGCCCTCTTCCTCCGTCGCCCTCCACCGCCACTCCAACGCCCTCGTCGACATCCTCCCCCCCGAAGCCGACTCGTCCATTGCCATGCTTGGCGCCGACGAGAAGCCCGATGTGACGTACGCCGATGTTGGTGGTCTGGATATGCAGAAGCAGGAGATCCGCGAGGCTGTCGAGCTGCCATTGACGCACTTCGACCTCTACAAGCAGATTGGTATCGACCCCCCTCGCGGTGTCTTGCTCTACGGCCCTCCTGGAACAGGAAAGACGATGCTGGTCAAGGCTGTGGCGAACTCCACGACGGCAAACTTCATTCGTGTTGTTGGCTCCGAGTTTGTTCAGAAGTACCTCGGTGAGGGTCCTCGTATGGTTCGCGATGTCTTCCGCATGGCCCGCGAGAACGCCCCCGCCATCATCTTCATTGACGAGATTGACGCCATTGCGACGAAACGTTTCGATGCGCAGACGGGTGCCGATCGTGAAGTTCAGCGTATTTTGCTCGAGCTTCTCAACCAGATGGACGGTTTCGACCAGACCGCCAACGTCAAGGTCATCATGGCCACGAACAGAGCCGACACCCTCGACCCCGCCCTTCTCCGTCCCGGTCGTCTGGACCGAAAGATCGAGTTCCCTAGCTTGAGAGACAGACGCGAGCGTCGTCTTATTTTCTCCACCATTGCCAGCAAGATGAGCTTGGCCCCCGAGGTCGACATGGACTCCCTGATTGTTCGCAACGACCCTCTCAGTGGTGCCGTCATCGCTGCCATCATGCAGGAGGCCGGTCTCCGTGCCGTGCGGAAGAACCGCTACAACATCATCCAGAGCGATTTGGAGGATGCCTACTCAAGCCAGGTCAAGGGCACGAGCGACGAGAACAAGTTTGATTTCTACAAATAAGCGACTGCTCTCTCTAAGGGAGAAGGCGCAGGCGGAAACGGCGCATCGTGGGGGGAACGAACAGAGCTCGCTGCCAGGCTGGCAATGTAATGTCACGAAAGGCACGGCCGGGAAGGCAAGGGATAGACTTTACAAGGCTTCGGGGAGCGAGGCTCGGCGTCGCGTTGTACAATACAATACACTCGATAAAGAAGTTGCGTTGCTGCCACCATGTTTCAACCTGCTTTTCAAACCCGTTTCACTCGTGTGCTGGGAAATGTGTGATCGTAACTGTGACCTAAAGCAGTGCTTCCCTTTGTCTGTAATTTCGCCAGTATCACCAGAGGCCCTTTAGTATGCAGTTGAGCTCTATGGATCTCATAAATCAGACTTTGTAAGACTGTATCTCAACTACATGTGCCTCTTCGAACGCCAACACCGAGATTCGACTACCTCCGAGCCCCTCTCGACGATTTGTTTGGAAGGGAAGCGGGAGAGCGGAAGTTCTGAGAGCAACCTAGACGCTTCACTGAACAAAAGCTGGAGTGAGGTTGAATAGACGTATCGGGAAAGAAACTGGAAATACCCCAGAGCGTGAGCCGCCCGGCATATTTCAGAGAGGGAAATATAAAAGCGCTGGATTATAAGATTTGGTGTCGATGATTCGACTACATAGCTCATATTGTTTCAAAAAGAAAATGATGAGTAAACGTGTGTCAATATCTATGTGAGAGTTCAAAAATGCGCAAAAGAGAAAAGGAAAGAAACATGAGATACCGAAGATTTAGAAATGGAAAAAGTGCTTAAAAGTTGAACTGGCCCAAATAAACTGCCCCCAGATGAAGATATAAGAGGGCTGGTCGTTGGCTGTCAGTCGTCCGCGGCGAGCGGTAGTGAACGTCAAACACACACCGGGACTCCGCTCGGCAGCAGCCGAGAACTTCAGGTTTCCTTCAAATCGGATTGCCGGCCGGAACACACCTACCTTATCGAAAGGAGGGAGGGGAGGGAGGGGAGGAGGGAGGTTCCACCCGATATAAGGAACTTGATAGGAACAAAGGATTACATCACATATCACCTTTCCTTCTCGATCTTTATTACCGTATCAGTCGGCCTACATGTGGGTTTTTGCCCTCCCATTATGGACTATGTATAAAGTATACTGCAACTACTTACCTTACTTTCATTGCCATTATACGTCGATGTCCTCTCTACTGTTCTTGTGGATCAGGTCGCAAATCAAGTATGAACCAGAATGGATTTTGACAATGTCAAAAAGAGTATAATTCATCAAGGTAATAATTCTGGATTTTGCTAAACCCTTTTCCCCAAATACTTTTCCGGGTCCGATAATCCCCATCTATTGATTCGGAATCTTTTCCCTTCTTCCCCCTTGTTTGCCGTTTGTCCTTTTCCCATTATCCCTTTTTCCTTTCCTTCCCTCTGTGATCTCTTTCTTGACCACAGACGTGAGCCTGGAAGCTTCCGTTGTGAAGTCTAATGTCGCTAACTCTCGAGGCGAATCTGGGGAAAGGAAGAACATGAAGAAAAACCCGTGAATCATGAAACCATGGCTAAAAAGAAAGAAAGGTGGGGATCCCAAAGTCTATGAAAGTCATGCCCAGCCTGCCTGCTTAGTCGTGAAAACCGCTTGAAAATGGATAAGAGAGCGATGCTGCCGCTCGCTAATGCAAAAAGTCCTGATGCAAATGAGATGCCGGCCATCTCATTTGTGGGGTATATCCGTCGTCCCTCTGAAATCACTCTCCTCCCCTCCTTTTCTCCCCTCCTCCTCTCTCTTCAAGTAGTGGGCAAGGTAATTAGGATTATCATTACCCATTACTGCTTTGGTTCTGGCTACCGTATCTGAGGGCTGGCCTAAGCCCGCCGCATCATAGTTGTAGGTGATTCGTATGTTGATATGTTTCGTACGAATCGCGTCTTCTACTGCCCCAGTCAATGACAGAGGCAGCGATTCTGTGTTGTGAACGTATATGTGCTGCGACCATTACAGCTCCTAAGAGCTCAGCGCAACGCCAAGTTCGAGCATAAGCTTCACAAACTTGGCATGCAGGTCAATAAAGAAGTCGGGCATGCCGACAAGTTCAGCAAGGCCTCGAGCTTTGAGTGAGACACCGCCGGGACCACCGCCCATTCTCCTTGAGAAGCCGCCACCTCCCGTGAGGAAGCTGCTGCCACCACGGTCTTGTCCTTCGCGTTCAGGCTTGATCATCGTCGGATAAGAGCTGTGGTGTTGCGGGCCTCCAAGGGGGCTGGCTTCGGCAGCTTTCTCTGCCTCAGCTTCCGCCAACTGCTGAATCCATGAAGCAAGATCACGGAAAGCGGCAGCCATGAAACCAAACGTTTTCATCGCCAGTCTCTCCTTGTGTGTGCTAAGAGCCAGAAATGCATACACACGCTTGTGGCCGCGAGCATGCATATCTGGAATGCGAAAGATGTAGGCTGTTGTGTAGCCGTTGACTGGATCGCCGAAGAATATGGGACCACCAGAAGCTGCTGCCCCAGCGCTGTGTGTCGTGACAAAGGCTGGCATGTTGCTTGACTGCGGCGATGCACTGGGGGTTGGGTTTGCCGGGGCGCGGGGTAGTGTCTCCAGTGAAAGAGTTCGCAGACACGAGGATCGCACTATCGAGAAGGAAGCCGGGATGAGAGGTTCGTGGGTCGAGGTGTAGTCGAGGTAATGTGTGTGGCCGACATGCCTGCCCGATGACATGCTCGATCGCGTTGTTGTAGAGCCCGTTGCCCTTCGGTGCATTCGTTCGGGTTGGCTTTCTCCATCTGTGTCGCTAGCAGAAGATGCTTGAGAAGTAGGCGGCGATGCCTGTCCGTATACCCTGGCGTAAGGAGCGCGGGTGCGCAATGTGGGACCACGCTCAGCCTTCAAGTCGTTCTTATCCTTGCCGCCCTGTCGTTGTGGTAGCGTCAGCGCGCAATTCTCGCAAGGGCCGGCGCGCTTCGTAACGTAGTCGTCGTAGGTTCGGCGAAAACTCGAATCTCGTCGTGGCTGCTGCTGCTCCGATATCCGGCGGGGGCTTTCGGGTGGGGTCTCGATTGCGGAGGGAGACAGAGGGGAAGCTGGCGAGTTCGTGGTAGAGTTTGCTGAAGAGGCGCGAAGCATAGCGGCGCGCTGGATCTGGTTTTCAGCTTCGGAAGCCGGCAGAGACGAACTGCGGTGCGAGTTGAGGTGCATCTTGCGCAGCGCATCCGACATGGCCACGGTCTGGTTGAGAGAGCCAGCCGGTGCTGGGGCGCTGGTCCGGGGTCGGAGCTGATCTTGATCGGCATAACCAGCGGTGCCATCATCGAAGCATGTTGTGCATGGGACTGGCAGGCCCTCGGTGACCATAAGCGGGGTCGGACCATGTTGGTCACAGTAGTGAGCGAGACATAGCTGGAGGCCGGTCATTAGCGACAGCGAATCTGGTGGTTGTTGGTTCATGGTTGCAGGGTGTTCGCGAGGAGTGGCGAAGGTGTGCTCAAACGACGGGACACGCATCGTGAGAGTGCAACAGCCTTGGGAGTTGGGTGTGTTTGGCAACAGAGAGATACTCTGCCAAAGGTGGAGGGTGAAGAAATATTAAGCAAAAAGTGCAGCCATGACAATGCCGGGAGAGGCGCGAGAAGGTATAGGAACAGCTTATATCAGCCGTAGAGGTGAGAGAAGACGAGAGAATATGGGAGCGAGTCGTGTCATGCGCCCGAGGGTAGAGTTATACGTGTGAGAGGCAAAATAGGGCGAGGGTGCATGGGAGAGGCCATGGCGGCGCAGTCTCCCTTTCTTATGGGAAGTTCAAAGGGGGTCTGGGTGGTGGTGAATAAGAATTGGGCATTGGAAATGATGGGGGAGGACAAGATGGAGGGGTGGCTAATTAGGGGACGAGTATCCGTACTCCGTAGAGGCGTATGGAGACATGGGAGTAGATAGGATGGGATGAGATGAGTAGAGAAGTTGGGCAAGGTGAGGCCGGTTGCAACAGGCAGGGCCCCGGTCGTGGGGGATGTTATCCTGATTGCCGGTGTCTCGTGTCGGGCTTGTCTGAGTGTCTGGGAGCGACGGGGAAGACGGGGAGGATGGGGATGTGCACTGATATGCGGGAAGCGGTGAGGCGGTGAACGAGCGGCTCTCTCCAATGACATGACGACGGTCGGTCAGGTTTGACGGCCAGGGACAGCAGGAAATGCTGCAATCCAGATTGGCCGAGGTGTGTGGTCATGGGAAATGGGAAATGGGTAGGCAGGCCCTTTTTTTTTGGTGGTGGGAAAAGATAAAGAGGCAGCGTAACGCAGCAATACGCAGCAATAAGGAGAGACACTGAGAGAGAAGACAAACTTACTATGGATGTCATGACGTACTCCCTCTCCCCAGGCCGAATCCGGGTCGTGTTTGTGTTTCGCCAATGAAGAGATGAGCGCAATCAACGCCCAGGCCTAGAAGGGGGGGAAGAGAAAAGAAAGGCTGTGTCGTCTGTTGTAAGGAGTCGTAGGGAACCCCAGCAAGGGTCGGTTGTTGCACTTTGATCTTCCGTTTGGGGGCGATTTTTTTTGGTGCCACGCGGGATGGCAGAATCGCAGGCTGAGAGAATGAGAAGTGATTAGAAAGAGGAAGCCTTGAAGACGGCGAGTCGGAGCAGGAAAATAAAAATCAAGGTGGTGGTTCTCGAAAAAAAAGGTGTATGGATGAGACGGCAATAATAAGTTGCGTGTGTGTGCGCGCACACCTTGTGCCTCTCCTGTGTGTGTATGCGTGTGAGGAAAAAGAACAGCAAGTGAGGAGTGAGTTGAAAGAGTAAATGAGAGTGAGTGTGTAAGAGAGACAGAGGCGAGTCCAAAGTGGGCGTGTGAATAAGTGGGTGTGAGAGAGAGGTGTGTGGTGCGGATGCAGTAGCCACGATCCCCAAGGTAAAGGCAAGTAAGTGCAAGTGCGACTGCGATGAGATGCCGAGAGGAAAAGAGCGAGCGACCACCGGAGGGTAAGGTACTTACTACGCTTGCTACACACAGTGGTGGTAAGGTACCTTATTCACTGGTGAGGATGAGGACGAGGACGAGGACAATAAGTGATCTGCTTTCTCTTCTCTCAAAGAGCTGTTGCCACGAACGCTAAGAAGACGCAGACCCAGACTAAGCAGCAACGATGGGCGGGGTTCCCGGAAAGCGCAGGTTCGTTGTCGTATGAGAAGGGTGGGAAGTCCCGGCCGGACGCGATGCAGGGCGATTTCGATGCTGATGGACGTGTTGGCGACTTCTGGGGTCTTGCCCACCAGGCTAAGGTAGAATGATGGGACGGCTCACAGTTGGTGTGGCTGGTCGTTGATGATGCTAGCCAGTAAAGCAACCCAGTCTGAGTCTGAAGTTGGTGGCCAGACTCGATGGGAACCAACGGCGGGCCTGACGGGAGATGGTGAACGACGTCTTGAGCTACCGCGTAGTCCCATATGCTAGCAGTGGTACCCCAATATTCCTGGCAGAGACGATGGAATCTCGATACGTCTAATCAACAATGGGGCTTTGAGAATGGTGGTTGACAATGACACGCGCACTAGTAATGACTCAATGCTGAGTGGCTGAAGATGATTTTTGGGAAACCAGAAAAAGACGAGGACGAGAACCTCAACGGGTCGGCGGCCACGGCAAGCTCAGTCTAGTTATTACCACATCACATATTCCTTCATTCATCGAGTGGGATGAACGCGGCCCTGTGGAGAGGGGGGGAGGGGGAGAAAAAAAGTCAAGGCGATTCTTCATGTGCGGGGCACATCAGGGAAAATAAACAACCCCCGTGACATACACAGTACACAATAAGGTAGATGAGGAATATTTCCCTACGATTATCGTGGGCTTCATCCACTTAGATGGTCTTCCGTAGATGATCGGTACCTGGCCTTGGGTCGCTGCCGACAGCTCGGGACTGGGATATCGGACATAACTGCGATTGGGTACTGGCGAACGACCAGGGACTCGAAGACATTACGACGAGGAAACACCACCATACCATGGACGAGAGACCCGGGCCCAGGAGACCAAGACGTGGGACGACCTGGACAATGGGGCCGGGCTGTTGACTCGCTCTAGAACCTCGAAAGACCCACCGTGGCCAACGGAATCTCAGCCTATCTTAGCTATTCCTGAGTCTTTTTTTGAGTCTTTGACGAATTCCTATGGTTTGCTGTTCATTGTTTCTCACTTTACTTTGTGTGTAATAAGTCTGAGCCGTCTTGTCGTCGCGTGCCAGTGGGGACGGAGTCTGAAGCCTTGCTGGGAAATGGGGACATTTCAATGGAGACGATGAATTCTTCGTATGTAAAGCGTTGCTCTATAGCGGTGCGCTAACATCCAAAAGAGACTCGCGGCGGAGTAGGGGTCGCAGAGGCACAGGTATGCCGGGAATTGCGAGTGGTTGATTCGTTTCTAGGCATGTCCAACATGGTTTGTCCGCACGTTAGCTGCTGCGGACGCTCATGTAGGTAGATGCGCCGTTGTGGTGCAACTGCTCCGTCAAACGTCTCTGATCCAAAATTGAGAGGGGAGGGGACGAAACTGACTGAGGCATTATACGGGCCGCAAGGTAATGGGGTTGCAGGCGCTAGGGTAGGGTCAAGTTCCGAAAGTCGCGATTATGAATCGCAAGGCGGTTTGAGACAGATTATCCGGCCGGTCGTTATGAAAGAAATTCAAGAATAACCCCGTCCCCAGTGTACGGATACCGAGTACCGTACCGGAGTAATTCACGGCGTAGCTATTCGCGAATAAGTCGGGCAAACCTCCCCGCGAGCGGCGAGTAATAGTAGGGCAGAGCATACATAACAGAGCCAAATAAACTCCGCACGTTCTCCGTTGCGGTCATGGGTGGTTGTAGCCTTGTAGGGAACAGTGCTTTCTCTGCGTCCCGGGTTCCTGAGCAGATATTCGGGATTCTCGACGTTCCAAGAAATCCCGAGCCCAATGTCCCTGACCTGGGTCAGCTTTCTTTTTCCTCCTGTCTCTTGTTGCCCGACCCGACGGTGGGAAACCAGGGTTGTCTTGTTGTTCTCCTCTTCCCTTCTCGACAAAATCGGGGGGCCAAAACCCGACGCAACCGCAAGCAGCTGACTGGACTGAGAAGCACCGTAGCAGTCCATTCTCGGTGTCCCCCCTGATCGGAAAGAAGCAGTATCCCTGTCGGCCGGATGTGGATAGCGGACAAGAGGGCTGCAAGCAAAGACCCAGTTGGACCGCGAGTGGCAGGCTTGCTAGGATGTGACTTGGCGCAGTGGAAGGAATTCAAACGAGGGGTAGAATTGTCCACATCTTCCAGAAGCATTCCAGCGCGTGGGCTGGAACTTTCGACTGGGGGCCATTAACGGTGCACGGCCGAGGTGCAATGCAGTGGTGCAGGACGATGGCACGGGCAACGAAAAAAGGCGGGTTTTCTGGTGACGTTGTCAATCGCCTCCCCATGTGCTCTGTAAGCAGGCAGTTGAAAGTTCTCGAGCTTCGGGCAAGGTCCTGGTCTGCTCCACTACAGGGCCGGAACAGCTCGCTGAGTTGTGGTCGAGATGGAGATGGAGGTGAAGACAAAGTCGATTTGGCTTGGGGTTTGCGGGTGAGGATACCCCGTCGATACTTGGTGATGACGGGAGCGAGGACGGCAGTGAGTGAAGTGGATGAAAATAGCTGCTTGGCAAAACGTGAGCTGTATCCGTACACGAGTTGAGGCACGGAGTACCTCCAATAACTTTGGTGTCCTGCCACGGCCATCGGCCGAGTAGTGTACTTCGTAGGCACAGAAAAGGGGGATCGAGGCTTGTGGTGCTTGTTCCGTTCGGACTCTCGGTGTTTCTGTCGTTTCCTGGTGGACTTTTTTCTTTTTCTTCCTTCTTTTCCCTTTCCAGGTATTCAGATGCAGGGTACCTGGGTGTCGACCGAGGCAGGCGGCAGGCGTAGGCGCATGCTGAGTTGCTGACCGCCCCCAGACAACCCAAGTCACACAAGTTGCTTGTTGCTCCCGGCATATCGTAGGGGTCTTGGAAGATGAACGGGGCAAGTGAGGAGAAGAGAATGGGAGACCTTGTCAATTTCGTCTTGTCGTCGCGATGGAAAATAAGGATCCCATCTTACCAAGAAGGGCTCCTTCCTTCTCGAGTGTCGAGTTTGCGCATCAGTCTGGGGTTTGGTTTCGCACGAGTGAGAGTCGGGAAGGAGGGGATGAGGTAATGCGGGGCTCTTTCTCGTACGGACCTATCTTAAGGTACCTCACCTCAGGCCCGTACCTTGGGTAAGGTACCGGGGTTTACGGACAGTGGTCCAGGACCTTGTCACTCGCGCCTTCCGTTCAGCCAGACTTGACAGGTTCAGAGCTCACGTGGAAGGTACAGCTTTGCATCTGCGCATTCCTAAGTTCTCAATCTTAACCTGACGGACCCAACTGGGGCCTGCCATTGGACGCCACGGGATCGCCAGCATCGCTTCATCGGTGCAAAGTGCAGGAGCGGTGCCGCGGTGCGAATACAATGGAGCAGGTGCAGCAAAGTGCGGCAGGCGCAGGCGTAATGTGAGGTAGGCACGCAGGGTCCCAGATGTCCGGCTACCTTCCATACCTTACCTCAAGGTACTCTACTAGGTAGGTAGGTACTGTACAGGACTTCACCTTGCAGCTCCATTCCATTACACGCTGCACATCTCAGTTACCCAAACTCAAGTGTTTCGGTCACAACTCGCCTCGGGATCGGGAACCGGCCAAGCTTGTCTTGGCCTCTCTGTCTCTCGGTCTATATCTCATCCTGATCCTTGATACATCCACCTTATCCAAAGCCAGAGAATGACAGCCTGGCCACCTACCTTAGCTACATATGCCCAAGGTGGTCTAGCACTCGGGTTAGCACTTCCTGATTCCCTTCAACCTACCTTAGCCCTGCTTAGCCCCAAGCTGTCAGTTGTCACTGCTGCCTTTCGACTTGCACGACTGACCGCATCGCTTTGTCATCGTGATCTTAGCTAGATACCCGTATTTTGGTTAAGGTAGGCAACGCAAAGCTGGTCTACGGCCTGCCATGCAAGTCTTCCTTTCACCTACAAACTTCCAACGCGGCCGGCGCTAACCCTAACCAGCAAAGACCCAACGGGCAGCGTTTGTCTCTCCTGAGTCTCTTCCTGGCTCAATTACGCAGCTCCGGAAACATTACCGGCGGCATTATGTACTAGCGCCCTCTTCCTTGACTCGTTCGACCGCAAAAGGACCTTGAGATTTCACGTATCAAAAACACCAGACGAAAACATGTCCGACACACTCGCAGTCTACGTACAGACTGCGGAAACTCGACAAGATTCCGCCGAGGCCTGCAAACTCAATCCAGCCATCCCAAGTCTTTTCGCCAGCACGGCGGCATAGCGATCCTTTGTGTTTCCATTCATCACGCTCAGATGCGGCCCTGTCAGTTGATCCCAGTATCAACCCCTGTTTGGCAAAGATCCTCAATCATCTTTGGAGTATGAATACAATACCCACGCCAAGCATGTGATTGTTAAACCGGCATCCTGGTCCTTGGTCCCGACTGACTCTGTCTCTCACCGTGCCAAACATGGATGAAGACTTGGGCCACCCAAGGAAACGAAAGAAGACGTGTTGTGTCGTTGAGCTTAGGAGAGTAAGCGACAAATTTTCAACGTACAATAGCAGTCTCCGTCATATCGCATACTGCTACGGCGGTGTAGACGTGCATTGGAGCCTCATTCCCCTCGTCACCGCTTACTTTGGGGCGGGCTTACATGGCAGACAATCTATCAGCTCAGCTGAGCTGCACCGTCGCTTCGGGCCGGAATCTCTCTCGTTATTCCAACATCGCCATTTACCGGTTCTTCACCCATCTCCGCAACACTCCAGTCACTTTTCAGTAATAATCACAAATCACCCTACTACTCCAAATCTTCTCCACATGCGACTGCGGGCTATTACAAGAGACGTAGCTGCGAAAGCTTGGTAGATTCAGCAAGGAAGTCTCACGGCTGGTCGGAAAGCAACGCTCAGACTCGACACATGCCTTTCGCAGCTGTCAGTCCACTGCAATTACCTTTCCCCGGATCCCTTCACCTGCGCTGCCGGACAAGTCACAATTGGATTGCTTATCTCGACTTCATGCTTTCTCTTATCCACAAATCAGAACATCAGACAATTGACAGGAATTGTCCCGACTCGATCTCATTCCAAGGTCTCTCTGACATGCTTCTACGCTCCCTCCCTCATTACACGTCGTCTCACCGCTCAATTTGACCTCACCTCAACACCACCCATCCAAGACACCTCGCAACCTGCATCACGGATCGTGGCCTCTCTCCTGACGACCAAATACCCCTGCCGTATGGAGCCTTGCTCTCCTCTTGTCCCAATACAGCCTCGCTTCTGGTCCCAACTGCCGCCCGTTGAGCCAACTCATCTCACCCACACCATCATCAGCCTGCATCCACACACACACACACACACACACATTCACTCACACACCTCTGCTGTCATGTCCACCGCTCAAATCTTCCGCCGACCTTGATTTTCGTCCTTATAGTTGTCTGGGGAAAGCTTCCGTGGCCCCGCCGCGGCGAGGGCTAAGTTACAAAACCTACGCGACGCTTAAGCGCTTGGCCTGACTGAGCTCAAGCTCTATGATCCGGCCCTCGCGGAAAGTTGTCGTCCGTGATCCGGAATTAAGGATCCAGAGACACTTATGGTAGGCATCGAAAGACTAGCATTGTCTATACACCCTCAAGCAGGTACAAAATTTGGATACACACGCAGACACTGCTTCAACCGGAATTCGCTCTACTCCCATCTCTCGCTTTGGCCTTTTTTGCGCCCGCCCAACTTTTATCAGGCCCCAGTCCCTCACGATGATGTTTGACTTAGAAAAGGATCGCTTTTCAGAGCAGCAGCCGGTAGCGAAATGTAGCGTAAGCCACCACGCGTGGCAGCGTCTGGGCAGCCCGGGGTCTAGGAGATCGACTCGCTCTCGGTCCTCAGCGGGAGAAGTGCTCGTTCTGGCTGGTATGGCCGTCCAACCTTGCAGCTCTCAATGCGCCGCTACCATGTGTCAGGCCCACGCTTCGGTGAGCGTACCGGCGCCGTTCTATGCCAGTCATGAGCGAAGGAAAACGCACAGACATCTCTAGATGGCCCATACCACGCTGGAATTGACGGCGCATGCAACTGGACGTCAACCTACACATAACGGTAGCATTTCCTACATCATCATTCCCAAACTGGACCTCTGAGGCGTTGCTCGCAAGCTGAAGGGAGCTGGTCGACTGTCTTGCACATGCGCTGGCTGAACCGCAGCGAGCAAAAGAGAACAGCCGGCTGCCCCCTCCACTTCGTGCTTCCGTGCGCCGGCTGCATATTATCTGGGGTTTTCCAAAGGGCCACTCATTTGCTGGTTCATCTCGTCTGCCCACCCCCCTACCGCTGTGACTTGTAACTTGTGATGAGTTGCGCTGCACCTCGCATCAAGTAGCCCGACATGCTCCGTGCTTTCTGCCGTGTAACAACGGCACAGGATGTCACTATAGTATAGCTCATCTTCTTCGAGTCTTTCTCAATGTTGGCCACTTCCGAAGGCTGACGGAATGCGCTAGCAATCACCACCTTTTCGAGAAGAAGCGAGGGTTCTAACGACGGTCACACAACTGCCGGGCCAGAACAGCATGCGAATTTTCTGAAAGTCGCAGTCTTGCGCTTTGAGAAATACGTTGTCTTCAATTCTTTAGTGCTAATAATTGACAGCAGAACATCCAAACGCAATCGATGTTTTCGCAGCCTCCAACAAGCACGGCGGCACGGTCACAACGACACCCCGGGAATACCAAGACAAACCGGCCCTCAATTAGCCGCGCCGGTCCGAGATGCCTCCATCGTCCGCACTCCCGAGGTCCACATCGGACCATCCAAGCCATCCTTCATCTCATCTTTCCCACTTATGTCCATTCCAACCGGACAAGAGACGCTTACGATTAACCACCAGCCGGGGGCTATAAATGGTCTCCACCATTGCCAACACACGACAGGGAGGATAATACGCAATGCTCGGTAGAAAGTCTTCGGCGTATGTTCACCGAGCATGCTCACGCCAGAGTTCGTTTTCTGCTTCACTTCCGGTGACCGGAACGTTGGTTGAAATAAGAGAACAAGGGTCTCATCATCCGCCGTTGTACAAGACAAGGATTCACAACCCCAGCGAGCTGGCTGGGTTCGTGGGCCTCGATTTATCCGGCCACTCTTTTCTCTTGGGATTGATCACAAGGAAAAAGTTCGGACCATTGATCATGCTCACTGGAATTCCCAAACGGCCGAGCATTCGTGTTCTGCCAGCATCGAAACATCAACCGTTGATGCTGATTTCTGGCTGATGTCGTTGGCTAGGTACTTCAGTATGCTGTCATGGCGATCCCATGGGCTATTACACTCTGACTGCCTGGCATAATCTTAATTTCTCCCGTCACCATCACATGGCGGCATGGGGTATGTAAAGATACTGCGCGGCCTCGCCCGCCCGCTGAGCGCGCCGTCATCTTTGGTGCCTGTACTCAGTAACCCGTATCACACAATACGACGGCAACTTTCGCAGGAGAATGCTGCGGGCAAGGCTATGCTCATCTTTTTCTTCGCGAAAACTACCATACAGACACCACAGAGACGCAGAGACGGCCGCCGCCCCCTCCACCCTCCTTTACCGCTGTGCCGTCCCACGACCCCAACCCCGGGCGCAAGAAAGAGGAGGGCTGCTGACCAACAACCCCGGTTCGAAATCTCACACCGAGACGGGAGTCCCCGGAACCGGTCAGCGCTACGGAGGAGGGATGTCATTCCCGCCCGCTCTCCCTTCCTCCCCCATGTGACGGTTACATGCCATGTCGAGTTGTCGATGAAGGCGGGAAACGGGCGCAAAGCGCCCCGCTATCGACGCCGGGGACAAGGGGAAACGTGATTTTGGGTTTTGACCGTTCACAATAGTCGCTTCTTCAATGCCCTTCAGAGGCACAGAGGCGCAGACTGGGGGGGGCTCAGGATTTCCATCGCATCCCGAGGTCTCTTGCCGGCCGAGGGTCGGTATGTCTGAAGTCGGTCCGACATTATCATGTTGGCTTTTCTCTTCCCCCTCGCCCTCGAGATGTATCAGCCATGCTGGATGATGTCTTCTTCCATGCCTCGGATTCGGAGACATGGCGGCAACCCGCCAACCCGGGGATGAGTTTGTGAATACGTTGTTGTCGTTACTACTAATCACCCGCCACCACAAAGCCCTGCCCATCACATCGCATCACATCCATCGCCTCTCTCTTGTGAGAAAAAATGGCCGGTTCCGTGGAAAATATGAGCTATCATAAAACAGGGAACACCAGAAGCGCCAGGAATCGAAGGCGATAGCGGTCGATCGCCCGCTTTTCTTTTTGCCGTTGAAGAATTTCAATGTTTTCCCCCTCCCCTTTTCTCCCCTTCCCTCTCTTTTTTTCTTACCCTGTCCCTTCCATCCGGATCGTACCGGTTAGTGAGAATTGCGTTTTTGTGATTGGTCCATAGGGTTAGGTGAGAGGTGAGGTGAGGCGAGGTCAGGTAAGGAAGGAATGGAAGGAGGTCCAGTCTACTGTGGATCACAGCCGTACGCCGAGAAGCATGGGAGAAGGCTGCTCAAGCTTACTCCTTTCTTTACTTTGGCTATCCGGTTGGGCAATGTAAGCAAAGGTGAGGTGAGGTTATATAACTCATCAAACGGTTTTGATATTGGCTAGCCTACCTATCGTAGTAACAGTGAAGACGCGAACAGTATGTCAAAAGCGCTGAAATAAATATTACTTCCTTAGACGATAATGGCATTCTGTCGAGACCACGCATCCCGAGCTATACGAAACACTCATCATTGGTATTTGACGAGTGAGTAGCAACGCCAAGGTGGTAAGAGTGCAGGGGGAAAGAAGAAAGAAAAGAAAAAGTGAATCTTGTTACTAGCATCTAAAACAAGCGACTCTCGCAAACTCTCTATTCAGCCTCTGGCCGTGATCTGGAATGAATAAAAAAAAGAGTCTTTGCACGAGTATATTTCATGATGATTAACCCCCTTTTCTTGTTCTTATAGAAGAAGGGAATGTGTGTATTTCATAGGTAGCCATCTGGTCCGCTCTAGGCGGACGGGGGGCCCACGTAAACCGCAACTATTCCTATGATATCTCTCTCCTTCTCACCACGAAAATACCATGATAACTCAAAATCCTTCTTGGACCTCTTCTGCCCTCGAGGCTTCGTCTACCTTGAGCCGTTTGCTATGACCCTGAATCATTGAACCTCCCTCATCGCCTCAGAATACTCCTACAATTTCCATCACCGGTCCATGTATGCTTGCTTCCTCATGCCCAGTCAATGCTGGCCCGCTCCCCTTTCCCCCTTTCTCCCAAATCATAACGCCTGGTAATGCTGTTGCTTGCTTTGGTATACAAGTTCTCGAAATTACACATGCTATGCCGCCACAGTCTGCCGATTAAATCATAATTGTTTATGTCCTTTCAACCTTTCCATAAGAAGAAAAAAAAAGGGGTATCTCCGTGCCTCATCCCCGGCCGTTCATCCAGTAGTCTTCCTCTTTCGTCAAGTGAAGTAAACCCGGCATGCGTCACTCAATCGGTCGACGAGTCCTCAACCTCCAGCCTCTTAGCTGCGGGCTCGCTGTCCCCGTCACTGTCCTCGACGTCGTACTTTTCCTGCCACAGCTTGCGCAGCACCTGGTACAGGAACAAGTACTGCGACTCAGCCTGGACCATACTGCGGCGCTGCTCGCGGAGGGCATCGACCGTCGCAAAGATGAGGTCGTCGCCCTCGCCGGCACCGTCGTAGTCGTCAAGCGCGCCCTCGTCGAGCTCGCGCATCAAGTGCTCCAGAGTGATAAAAGTGCCTGTTCGTCCTACACCCGCGCTGCAGTGGATGATGCGCGGATTCTCCGAGGTTGTGTTGTACTCGCGCGAGAGACGCATGAGCGTGAAGAAGCTGGACAGGTCGTCGACGGCGGGGACGCCAAAGTCGGGCCATTTGGTGTAGAGTAGGTGCCAGACTATGCGGTCCTCTTCCTCGTCGCCTACGCGCAGCAGGAGCTTGCGCACCTCGATGGCGCCGTTCTCGAGGGACAGGAGAGAGTCAAAGGTCAGCGTAGCGGTCCAGCCGTCGCTCCAGCCGTCCGTCTCGTTGATGACCCAGGGTTCGTGCTCTTCGTCCATTGGCAGGTAAGGGTAGCATTTCACCTGGTTGTTCTCGTAGAAGCTAGTGAGCTGTACGATAACGACGGGATCTGTGGGCTGCTCCGCAATCATGCGCCAGACAAAGTCCAGGGAGTTCTCTGTCGGACCCTGCATTGCAATGTAGCGCAGGGGAGGAAGCTCCTTATTCGAGGGGGAAGAAAGGGATATCGTCGAGGCGTTGACGTAGTCGAGCTCTTCTGCGGGCACGCGCAGTTTTATGCGGTTGTGATTCCAGGGCTTGATGTTGAAGTAACGATCTTGCGGGCCTCTGCGCATGTCAACCTGCTTGTAAGAGCCCCATTTCGTGGTCTCGTCAGCATCGGGAGCCATGCCGGCAGCCAGACGGTTGCGTTCCTGCCATACTAGCTCCTGGAACTTATTGTCTAAATCTGCAGGGATCCCAGCAGTTAGTTCCCGACCCGCGCCTCCTAGTCTGCGACGAGACGGAGGTTTCGTACCTGGTACGGAAAGGTTCAAGAAAGCCGGTATTCTCGGCTTGGGCCTGAAGCTTTCATGGCTGCTCTTACCGGACGAGGTCGAGTCGTCCTTGCTGCCAGCGCCAACACCACCACCACTGCCATCCTTATCTTTTGGCCTCGGAGACGAGGTGATGCCGTCGTGGGAGACGATCGCGGGGGGCGGCGACTGCGGCAGGGAGGCCGGAGGAGGGGATCGTAAGCGCTTGCCGGAGCTGCGCAGGTGTAGGCCGCGGAAAGCGGACTTGCGCAGGCCGGGCTTGGTCGGGGTCGGGGACCGGCCGCCAGTGACGGTGACGGTTGTGGAAGGGTATATTTGCTGAGGCGGCTGTTGTTCATCGATGCCGTTTCGGGACGGAGAGGTCTTTACGTCTGTTGTGGAGATTGTCGGGATCTTTGGTTTTCTGCGAAACTTGGGGAGGTGGTCCATCTTGAACCTAGTTACCGTACTACGAGACGTGGTGAAGGAGCGTCGGGTGAAGCGAAGTGGACGAGTCGGGTGGAGCGGTGGGAAAGCGACGAGACGCAAGGCGACGAGATGGGAGTACCTTTGCTCAACAGTGAGGCTGACGAGCGTAAAGTGGTGGTTTTGCAGCGGCCGCCTGGGGGCGCGTGGCGTGAAGGGTTCGGGTTGGTTATGTACTGTGGCCGCGAGCCTGTGAGGTAGGCAGGAATGTCGTCAGGGTTTTTTGGGTAGGCAGGGCGCGGGCGAAGGGCGGCACACGGCGGGCACCCTGCAGGAATGTCTTTCTTTTTTTGGAATTCGGGGGCGGCCCAGCAGGTCGGGCAGCTGCAGCAAGTACTCCGTGAGGTACCTTAACGAGCAACAAGCAAGCGGCCCAGCAGCTTTAAGCGCGGGTTGGGGTAAGACGTTTGGAGTATTAACGGGAATTCCGTCCTTCTTGTTGGTTGGCTTGCGTCGTCTAAAAGGGGATGGACGTGTGTGCGCGTGCGTGTAAGGTGTGTTTATACACGTGTGAGAGAGTAAGAGTCAGAGAGACTGTGTGTGAGGGTGAGAGGGTAAGAGAGAGGGGTGGCTGAAGGATGAAGGTTTGTTGTGAGGAAGAGTCGGGCTTGCGTTGGGCGTCGTGATAATTAAACCAGCAGTACGGAGTATGGAGCTAAAGAAGAAGAATAGTGGTCCGTAGTAATAATAAAGTAGTAATGGTGGTGGTGGTAAGGAGAGAACGGAACGGAGCGAAACTAAAGACGAAAAGTGTCGTTCCTGGCGATCTAAAGTGGTCGCATGGATGGACCTCTGAGGGGGAGTGGGAAAGTTCGTGCGTCACGAGTCCGAGTTTGGTTGTGTGGTTGTGTCACTCGGGAGGCACGTGCCGAAAGATGCCCGTCAGGAGATGCCAGATGGGCAGAAATGCAGGGTAGCGTGGTCTTTTGTTGCTGTTGTGGGTGACCCAGGTGTATGTAGTAGTGCTGTGCGGATAGTAGTATCTCTTGAAAAGACTTGAGAGACGAGAAAGAAAGAAAGATAAAGAGAAGAGAGATACAGAGCAATAGATGGAAACAAGGGAAACCCGTTACCCGAGGAGGGCTCGGAAGAGGAAATTGCCACGATGAGAAGAAGGTAGAAATTTTGATTGTAATAATAAAAAAGGCGGGTATCCGTTCGGATTACGGGTACCAAAACGAAGATGCTCTCTTTCTCCCTCATCCTCTCTCTTTATTTCTCCCCTTGTCGGTTCCCCGGGAACTGGGAGCGAACCTAGTCCAAGTGTCCCACCCCACGGCGGAACGCGAATTAGCAACCTGGAAGCGGCAGACGGCTAAGGCTAGCAGCTAAGCAGAGTAAGGTAGCAGAGAAGTGGGAGACGATGGGAAGAGGTGTCAACATGAGGCGTACATACGACTCACAAACACACACCGTATTACTTGGCAGAAAGAATAGGAGGTCGCGGCAAGACGGTCCAGATGTTAGGAGATTCCCTGGAGTCCTCCTGCGTAAAGGGAAAAAGAAAAGAAGGTAGGTATGTAGAGTCCACCCACCCCGTTGCAACGCTCTGTTTCCGCGGCGAAGGAAGGCAACCGACGGGGGGAGGGCATCGATTGGGCGAGAAGAATCGAAGCCGAATCAGCGTTCCATGGATCAAAGGTCGAACCGGCGATGCAAAGTCGCCATTGTAACAGGGGGTGGCAGCAGAGCAGGGGGATGAACGACATCTGGATCGAACATTGGAACGTTTGCCCATGTTCTGCAATCTCGGGCAGTGCAGCCAGTGCACGGCTTCTTGGTCCGCCGAATCCTCGGGAGGCCAATGAATTCTAACGGATACGTACCTGCCTTACAGGCTCTACTGAGGTAGGTAGTCATTCTGGAAGGCGGGGTGGGGGGTCCCTTGCCCCTGCCCCTTCCGCCTGCGAAAGTACATACACTACTGTGTATGTAAATGGAAAGAGGGACCTGGGAAGGGTCCACTGTTTTCTTTTGCCTTAGCCTCCCGTCCTGCCGCCGCGTCCCGAGGAACTGGAAGCACCGCTGCACTGCGTGCCTGCGTGCCTGCTTGCCCGCTGTTGAGGCTGCTGCCACCGTTCCACCGTACCACCTTCCCAGGCAATGGAGGACCAGGAGCCCAGCAGGTTCTTGCCTTTGATTCAAGGTTTCTGTCAGGTTCGAACCGCGCTTCGAAACGGAAAGGGGGGCCACGCAAGTTTTGAACGGTTACACCGTCGGCAGTTCCGTCTACCACGGTTCATGAGGAAAGACGGATGCGTACGTACCGTATTCTTGTCACTGTCTTCGTATGAGCCAGAATTTCCAGCTGAGTGAAGCTTCAACACGACAGAGATTCAAGCTTCCGATCCAGCGAGCCTACCTTTCTCCCATGACGGCTGACGGCCGCTGTCGCTGACTACCTAGGCGACTAGGTAAAACCTTACCTCTCTTGCGGAACCCAATTGTAGTGTAAGAGGCGCGCTTATTGGAAATATCGGGTCCCATCCTCGGATCGTCCCATTCGTCCGGCCTGCGCCCGACGATATCTGGGTTTCTAGAGTTTGAGACTCTGCCGATCACCTGGGCGCGCTATCGAATCAGCCGCCCGTACCTTACAGATAAGGTAGATGCCCGATGTGCGTACGTATCTGTACAGAATCACATACATACATATCTACCTCTCCATGCGTTGCCCAACTCTCTCTCCACCGGCTAACGCAAGTTCGTTGAATAAACTCTGCACGGAGTACGGATACTGAGTAGCACCAGGAAACCGTTCCTCGCCACGCTTGCTACTGCAGGCCAGCTGCATCAACTTAGTAGCGTAGCCCCCCGTGCCCCCTCTTGGCCGTTGGGCATGTCAGAGTCAGGCATGTCGCATTCCCCTCTAGCGTTGTTCTGGTGGTGGCGCTACCTACGGGATAATAGATCGTAATGGCCCGCCGCCCGCCCGCCTCAGCTGACGACTAACGTGCGACCCCCCGCTCCCGTCTCTCCCGCTGCGTATGTATATGCGGGATTGTGTTGGTTCGGGGGTTTGCCGACCCTTCGTGTTCAGCTGTTGGAGGAAGAGTGAGAGAGTCATGTCGGTGCGTTGCATCCGGGTTATTGGCCCGTACGAGGGGAAGGGAAAGGGAAGGCAAGGTGCTAAGTTTAGCTGCGAGCATCCATCCCTACACCTTAAACATTGTTGGTTCTTTCATCTTGTCGATGTATTGAGTATCGCTCTCGTTCAGCTGAGTAGCTAACGTAGTATATCCTCAATCGAGTCATAAACCTGAAATGACTACGACCTTCTGGAAGAAGTCTTGTTCGGGTGGAACTTCCTCCGTGACTGATGGGAGAGAACCTGTCACTTCTCAAGCTGACGTTGCCAAGACCCGGCTATTGAGGTAAGTGTAGTAGTACGCCACTACCCACGACACGCCTGCTTGGGACAACCCATCATCTCAGCTTTCCGGCAGAGTTTCTCTTGCGCCGCCGGAGTGTATCCGATAGACCACCCACTCCATCTTTGACAGATAACGCGCGTCAAAGTACAGAGGGTCGACGGCTACAGTTACTACTGCCGCTATGTATGTGCGTGTGAGAATGCGTGAATATGACATGGACACGGATTCTCAGATAACCCAGACAGGATACTTGCCGTAATCCGCACCGTCTGACAAGCAAGACCGAACATTACTCTCTCTTCCGGACGGGACAGGTAGATGGAAATCCTCCGATAAAACGGAAACCTGAACGGTGGCCAGCCCCCTTTTTCCCCTCTGTGGTTCGAAACCACCTGCCAAGCCACAGACCAGACTTCAGATGATTCACCATCCTGCGCTAGACGAGAACAGAGTAAGAGAAACAGTTGACGACCGGCAAAACCCCGGCTTCACAAGGCATGGATCGGGGCACGCGCAGGAAGCTTGTCAGAAGATTGCGATAAAGTGTGAGTTGAATTTCCTTGCCAAGATTTTTGGCGCGTTTTGATACGGGGATGGTCCGATAGAGTCTCTCCGATATATCGACGAGACACTCCGCGGATGACCCGAATATGGTTTCTGAAAAGGTCTCCGAGGAAGTCTCAGAGCTTTCCTCTATGACCCCCTCCTCTTATAGTTGTAATTACAAGGTTTTATATCCTTACAAGCTGTGAATATTCCCCGATACCTAATAGTACAATTCATCGCGCCTCACTCATTCGTGCGTTGGTAGCCGATTCAAGAGACGACGACGATGACGCCTGGCCAAAAGTCATGAAACATGCCGCAATAGCCGCCCACTCCAAGCCTATTCCGTCGTTCCACTCACCCCAAAGAGCCTCTTCAAACAGCGGAGTACGCGGCCGTCACGAACCGCCCACACTCCACCCTTTGCTCCAAACTAACCTTCCTGCCCTTGCCGTCCTTTCCAAGCCGGACCGTCTGCCGCGGCGTGAGCTGGAACCGATGCACCTCGCCCCCGCGACCGTTGACGGCGTCTCCTGCGCCGCCGTCCAGGGCGCCAATGTACGCCGGCGCGTTGAGGTTGCTGCGCTTACCCGTGCCGAGCTGGTAGTGCTCGTTGCCGCCCCAGAAGAGCACGTCGGCGCCCCAGTTGGTGTCGTTGTCCGAGGATCGCGTCGTGGCGCCCGTCCGCGTTACGTTGTCCATGGTCGCCGAGACGTGCGTCGCGCCGACAGAGACGTTGGCGAGGCGGATGGGCGCCATGCGGTTGGCCTTTTCGTCGAACTCGAAGAGCGAGGAGAGGGCTTTCACCTTTGCTGGGCCCGGGGTGACGTGCGTCCACTTGCCGGTGCCTAGGGATCCGTAGACGCCCTGGCCGCAGGCCCAGAAGTCGGCCGTGACGCGCGGCATGCGGCGGGCGGGCGCGATGTCGCCGGTGACGGACGCTGCTGGTGCGAAGGGGTTCTCGTTGACGGTTTCGGTGGCGTCTACGGTGAAGAAGGTGTTGTTGCCGCCGGCAGAGATTGACGTGATTTTGGGGACGAGGCCCGTGTTGGCGTAGAGTTTGGCGGTGGGGAGGAGGGAGGGGACGTCGACTCTCTGGTAGCCCTGGTCCGCCGGCAGGCCGAGCTGGCCGTAGGTGTTGTCGCCAAAGGTGAAGAGCTTGCCGTCCTTGTCGAGGGCGGCGGAGTGGAAGTCGCCGGCGGCGATCTTGGCGATGGAGAAGCCCGAGAGGCCGGTGATCTCCTGGGGCTGGTCAAAGGGGCCGGCCGGGCGGGACGTCCAGCTCAGGCCGGGGATGCCCATCTGGCCCTTGGAGGGGTACTCTGCGGTGCTGGAGGCCGCGGAGAAGACGCGGCCCTTTGAGGTGAGGAGAAGGCTGTGCTGGAGGCCGCTGCTGATGTCTGTGACTTTCTCACCCCAGGCGAGGTTCTTGGGGGTCAGGTCCCTGGCTTTGACGGACTGAGATTCGGGCGAACTCCAAAAGGGGATCCAAGATGATGATGATGACTGCTGAGGCTGCTGTAGCTGCTTTCCTGCTGCGAGGCCAGTCTTTGATGCTGGGACCGAGTAAACCGATCCGCTGGAGGTGAGTGCGATGATGCGGTCGTTGGAGATGGAAATCTTGGAAATGTCTTTGCCCTTGAGCGTCTCGACGGGCGAAGGGTCAGTATTCGAGAAGCCCAGGCCCCATTGGACGAGATCACCCTTCTCCGTGACGGCAGCGCCAAAGTCTTGACACAGTTTGATGTCTCTCAGCAGCTGGCCGTCAAAATACTTGATCCGTCTCGGGAGCTTGACGAGAGTCTCCTTGGACTGCGGGTCAATGACTTTGCCAACGTTGTTTCCCCAGGCATATACGCCCGGGTTCTCCCAGCTCTGCTTGACCTGAAGATGCTGCGAACTGATGAGGTCGCGGTTCTCTTCCTTTGACTGGGCGGCCTTCCTCGCTTCCTCAAACTTGATCTCGGCCTTTTGGTACTTTGGCTTGCGCGCGTCGGGTGACTCCTTCTCAACCTGGGAGCCAAAGTATTGCTTCAGGGGTCCGTTGAAGTAGTCGTCGGCGTAGTACAGAGCACCAGCAGTTCCTGCGGTCAGGAGCAATGCCTTTCCCTTGCCCATGCCCGACCTTTCACCAGCCCGGCGAGGCCCGGAGCTAGCATAGCGACGAGCTACGGCAGCGCATCTCTGGGCTGTAAGAGGAGTGCCTGCGTTGCGTGCAGCTGCCCTGTAAGCCTTCATTTTCGGGCTCACGAGAGTTGATTGGACAGAATGGTGTGAGTGCAATTATTTTTGGGATGATGAGAGCATTAAGTAAAAAGATTCCAATGACATGAGAAGGCAAGGCCCTTTGGGTGAGGAAGTGAAGTGAGGTGAGGTGAGGTGTAGTCGCTTACAGGTCGTGAGGTCATCAACGAAAACTAAAACTTCGATTCGCCCAGGACTTAGCTCAATCTGCGCAGTAGACTTTCCCGGACCCTTGCCGGTGCAGGGACCGTGCGCCCCGCTGTGGGTGAACATGCGGCCCCACTTTGTACCTCTGAGCTCCAACCGTTCGCAGTTGGGGCCAATGATTTTCCGCCCAGTTTACGCCCAAGGGAGCTGAGCTGTCCCGTTTGGAGCGGTGGTGGGAACCGCCGACCCGGCGCCATATCGGGGCCCCCTTCACGCCAGAGCTTCCCTTCACTCTCAACCCCAGTCCCGGAAAGCCCCTCCACGACTTTGAGGCGAAGCTACGATGTACGACGATTCTTGGTACAGCTTCGTGCCAGAGGTGGCCAAGAAAGCTACCACGGCTGCCCAAGGCCCAGGCCATCGTCGCAAAGAGTCGCTGTTGCAGCAGTCCAATGTCAGCTCCCAAACCCCACTACCGTCACCATGATCACCATCACCGCAACGGCGTGCTGACAGTTGATGCTACCAAAAGGGTATACCCCAGGCTTCCAATGCGCCAGAAGCTCTCGACGAAATCTTCGAAGAGATTGAAGACCGAAACACACCCCCGGAAGCCGAGGTCTTGCGCCGCGCAAAGTCCTATTCCGACTTCTACCACGTCGTTCGAGCCCAATTAGCCAAGGATGAGCAACACAAGAGGCGCAGGCGGAAGAGGGAAAAGACATGGGATGCGCTAGACATTGCGACAGACGTTGCTGAATCCAAGGCCGGATCTCGCCCGGTTCATCGACAATACGAAGGGGAATTGCTTGAGGCTAGTCAGCAAGAATACCTGTGAGTAGGGGCTAGCTACGCACGAAACTCGCCCTTGCTAACCACTCGAGCAGACTGTACAAGGACCAACTGACGCTCACCGAACGGCATCTCGACATGCTCATCGACGATACGAACCAAGCGCTCAAGCTGTTGACAACATTGTCTGAATCGTTCCAATCAGTCGAGGCACAGACGAGTTCGTTCCAGTCGCAGTGCGAGGACCTATTGTCGGAACAGCACAGGCTCGAGAAACTTGCAGACGAGGTCGGTACCGATCTTCACTTCTACGCATACCTCGATAATGTCTCTAGGAGACTCAATGCTCCTGGCGCTGGACGTCTGGTTGATGATGAATCCTTCGGCGAGATCTTGAGGAACCTAGATTCTTGTATCGGCTTCATGTCGAAACATGTGAGTATTGCTGTGATAGATGGTATCCCTGAATCAAGGTTGACAGAAAAAATCTAGACGACGTACCGTGACGCCGAGTCCTACCTGGCTCGATACGAGGCTTTGCTGACCAAGGCACTCCATCTTCTCGAGGTTGGCTTCACCAATAGACTGGAGGGCATCTCCTCCGAGATCGCGAGCCAGATTGCTGGCACCAAGTCCGAGGCTACCCGTCATGCTTTGGCATACGGGCGTTTTGAGGAGATGATTCTTGACTCTTACTCTCTAATCCCTAATATCCACAAAGTGATCAACAGCGTATATGATGAATACGGGCTCCCGATCACTGGCGTTGCCAAGGACATCTACTCGAATACCACGAGCAATCTCTTCAGCTCTTACCTGGCTGTTCGAGACCGCGACTTGAAGCCCATAGTGCAGCACGACCAGGACGAGTTCAAAAAGGAGATCAAAGATCTGTCCGTCGAGACAGCTTCGAGGAATTACATCAAGCAGAGCTTCGAACGCGCGTTCAACGAAGCCAATCTATTCGCCAAAATCTTTGGTCTAGATCTACAGTGGAGCTCCGATCCGGAGTCGGCATACGGGGTTCTCAAGTCTAACCAGAGGTCGCTCGTCAACCCCGCGAATCTCGTCCAGTTGGCCGCCAATCTCAATGCCGCACTTCAGACTGCGGATCTCGACACGATCTGTAGTGTGGTCGGCTGGCTGACCAACGAGTATCTGGTCCTCGACTATGATGAGGAGGAATCTCCGTTCGCGCGTCAATGCCGTGAACTCAGTGCCAGACTCTTGACCGAACATCTCTGGGTCTTCACAGACAACGCATTCGAGGCAGAGATTACGAAGACGATCGCCAAGGCCACAGTCAAAGATGAGGCTCTTACTATTGGCCCAGTGGTCGGCGGCGTTTCTTCTTCAAATGCCTTCCCCCCAGTCAAGCAAGCGCTCAAGCTTTTGGCCAAGTATGACCAAGCCATGCCCAAGGAACGAAGTGTAAGTTGACAGCTCCTGGAAATCGCCTATTTGGAGTGAAATTAACCATCCCACAGCAAAAGAACAGCCAGGTCATCTTCAAGATCGTCCGGGAAACCATCCAGATACTACAACGTGCCGAGGCGCGGATCAAATCCATCAAGGCAGGCACGGACGCCGATCTTTTCATGGTGAAGAACCTCCTCATCATCAAAAACGAGCTTGTCTCTCTCGAAATCGGAGACATCCGGGGCGACACGGCCGCCATGCAACATTTCGGTCACATCTGGGACAACCTCAGCCCCCAGAACTGGGTGGGCTTCGTCAGCAACATCATTGGCGGCTCCCTATGGTCCCGAGGAGCGGCGGCAGGAGCGGCGACCGTCACGGCCAAGACGTTGACGGTCGAGGACATGAGCGAGCAGCTGGACGAGCTGCTGAGGCAGTCCATTGTCGCCTTCACGCAGCGCTGGGGCGGACTGACGAACGATGCAAGGGCTAGAAAACCTGGTGTCAAACCCATTGGCAAGGTCGAGAAGGAGCTGGATGAGGTGCTGTTGAGGGCTTTTAGCAACCAGCCTGAGGTGATTGCGAAGCTCAAGGAGGCGATTGAGATTAATGCGCAGGCACAGGAGAAGGCGCAAGAGGAAAAGAAGGGAATTAGACGGTACTGAGGGGTTTAGCGATGACCGTTCTTAGTAGAGGTACGTATGGTCGAGAGTGAAATGAGACATCTGGTGAAATGCCACGTTTACGGGCTGCTTAGTCTCAGAATTCCCACATTCGACAAGAATCATCTCATGAGTATATTCGTAGAGAGCATTGAACTCCAGATGGCAGGCTATCATTTTTCTCGGTTCCAAATGCCCAATCTTAATGACCCCAGCTAGCTTCTAATGCTGCACCTCACGTCCGGAACAGCGGAACATCGAGTGTTAAAGCCATAAGCAAGCACCGTTTCGGCAACGATGTTGGGGTGCGGCACGCGGTCAGCGCCAACCTGGGCGCAGTCAGCAGTTGCCTTGTTCTGCATGCCGCCTGATGAACTGGCTGCAGATGATGTGTGTTCTTGCCGCGCCACTTGAAATGTCACCCTCCTCGATCCAACACGGCAGTTCTCTTGAGGATCACTCTTGACTTCCCTCGTTCCCTGAATGGTTCTGAGCACCGAATTCCTCATTCATTCACATTTCCGGGAGGGGGGATCCGCGAACATGCAAACGCCGCTTCAATGACGATAAGACACTTGTGGTACGAACCATGTCTTCTCATGAGTACCTTGACTTGTGCCACGAAGTTCACAATTTATTCTTGGGGCACCTGAAGCGGAAAAACAGCGAGAGTCTACGTTTCGCCACCCGTGAGACACCGAAAAGTGTATTGAGCCCGCACTATCTCCGACTCTTTTTCCGCAGCCTGATCGGCGGAGAGACACCCAAGGGACGCCGATTTCTCATTACAGAGGACCAATTTATTGAAAATGTACAGGGTAGGGAGTTACACAAATTCCTCGCAATTCTCGTCTTTGCCGGCTGCCGTGTAGAGGCAGCCAGGAACTTCACAGAGAAGCTGGCTGCTATTCCCGAGTGGCCGCCGCCTGAGGGTTGTGGGATCTCTAGGCGCGTGTGTTCGCTACCAGCCGACCGTCAAAGCTTGACGGAGTTCTTCGATGGGGACGAGGCGACGGCCGATAAGTTCTATGGATCGCAGGCCTTATTCTGTACGGTGGTGCTTCGGCAACGAGAGGAAACTACGATACAAGACGGTGATACCCAGCGTCTACCGTATGTGGAAGAGGAGCTTTTGGGCTCGGGCTCGTTTGGAAGAGTGTACAAAGTGAAGATTGCCAAGGGGCATTTCGAAGACCGCCGCAGAAATGACAACAGGGAACGATGGGTGGCTCGGAAAGACTACATTGTCAGGTCGTCCTCGGATTCCGATATTGAGAGCAGGGAGGAAGGCGAGATCATGAAGATGATTCTTAACTTGTCAAAGACTTGCGAGAACATTATGGAGAATCTGGGGACGTTGAACATCGAGTACCCAACAGGCGCCAGCCCGGCGCCGTACAGCCTCTTCATGCCGCTCGCGGTCTGCGATCTGGGAGCATACATGAAGAAAGACGGTTCGAACGCTCCAAAGACGGCGATCAACAGGGCAGGCTTCATCCGGTCCGCAATCGGTCTCGCCAATGGTCTCAAGTTTCTTCACGAAGAGATGCAGACGCCTGACCTCGACAGGATCGTCTGTTACCATATGGATCTGAAGCCGAGCAACGTCCTCATTTTCCGAGAGAGTGGCAATGGCGATGGGACCGGGCCCCGCTATATCTGGAAGTTGAGTGACTTTGGCATGTCGAGGGTTAAGATCCGGCACCATACCAGCCGCGAGGAAGAAAAGGATATCGCCAAGTGGTTCACCAAGCGACGCGATATGCAGCAGAGGACGATGTCGGGAACTCAGAATCGACGCGGCCAGGGGACGTATCTACCCCCCGAGTCGTTCCGTGAGGGTAAAGTCATGAATACGAGAAGCGACGTGTGGTCACTTGGCTGCATCCTGAGCGTCCTCTTCGTTTATCTCGAGGGCGGAAAGAGCGCCATTGACAATTACGAGACGAACCGTCTCAAAAACCGTAGAGGCATCGATGCAAGCTACGACGTCTTCTTCCACGTCAAATCATTCGGACGCACTTCTGTGCATTCGGCTGTAAAGAATGTCCACAAGCAACTAATTCACAAAGCTGCTGCGAGAAGCGTGAAAGAACATCATGCAGTCCGGAGCATGCTCAATTTTCTCGGGTCCAAAGTATTGAAGATTAATCAGAACAAGAGATGCAGCGCAAAAGAGGTCGAAAATATGCTCCGACGCACGCTCGACGCGTATGAGGAGATTGATCGGCTCGAATCCTCCTCAGAGTCTTTGAGACCGTACGTAAAGCTCCGAGCATCATTAAAGTCACTCGAAACAGAGTGCTAACCCTTTCCAGGCCCAAATCCTCTATGGAGCAGATTGTGCGAAGATGGCGCATCCCGCGAGACAATTCTGATGTTTTCAAGGGTTGCAAGGTGTCACCGGATGGAAACATGATCGCGTACTGGAGCGACAGCAAGATTTCACTCTTCGCCCCAAGTTCTTCCGAGAACGCAGATGAAGAATTCCTAAAGGTACTCGGGGATCACTCTTTGGAGTCCTTGGGATCGACGAGCCGTTTTTGGAAAGCTGTTTGCTTGACTAACAGATATCTGATTGCCACAACCACGGGCAACATCTTCAACGTAGGTTTCAATTTCAGAGTTCTTATTCATGCTGCTGACCTTCGATTTGGCAGTGTTACATATTTGATCTAGGGCATGGGGCTGCAGCCGACTCAAGCCCACATACCCATTGGCACATTCGGCTTCCAACAGTCCCGGAAGTATACATCATGGCGATATCAACCGATCAACAGAACTTGGTCTTCGTTGTGGAGAACCAGGAAGACGAGAGCCTATCGGGATCCATATTCCATGTGAGAATCGAGGATCTCATAGAGTGAGTCTCTTACGCTTATCTACTTGCGTCTAACTTGCCAGTATTTGTAATCAGTTCGCTGACCGTGAGATCAGGATGGGATCCATCTTAGAGGAATATGAGATAGAACAGAGTGGCAGAAACTTGTTGAGCCGCTTCATCGCACTCGACTGGCCCGCCGAGGACGTGATGTCTTTATCACTCACCGAACAGAATCGATGCTACGCGGCGATCCGCCCGTACCTCAGAACAGACGACATATACCATATGCCTGTCGTCACATATTCTTTAGCAACTCGAGAAGTAGAGGAAGTATCCATCGAGCCGCGAGTAAGTCCCCCCTTTGTTTATATCTGTATCACTAGGGAAGCCATATTGCTAAGCCAATTTCATCTCGCAAGAGCCAAGAGAGCAATACTTCAAGTCTATTCACCACATTTGCTGGCCTACACCAACAAGCAGCTTGCATAATCGTGTCCCGAGAAACCCGTCTCTTTATCGTTGATCTGCTCGCGAACCCATCTGGCTCACCGACGAGGCGATCCCGATACCCCAGAAACATCGAAGAGTACCGCCTCCACAGAGTCATGGTCGACCAGAACGACGATACCACTTTCGCACTAGGAACCAAACGAGATGGTGGTCGGATTCGTCTGCTTGAGATCATAATCCCCGAGACGAGACAATCGGTGACTGTTCGCGAATTGGCTCAGCTACCCAGTCTATCGGAAAACGACGAGTTCACCGGCACCATCGTCGGCGATAGCGGGAACCGGCACATCCTCGTTACCGCCCTTGTCGGACCCAGTCGGCACGCCGTCTTCAAGATCAACCTCCCTGGCAGACACGCTACATCCGCAGGCCCCGGACCTCCCACCTGATTAAACTTCTAGGCTATTCAACTCGACATCCTTGTCGTCGTGTTGGTTGCGATGTAACACCTTGCGCCAATTCAGATCTCTCATCTCCGATACCTTGGCGTTGAGGTAGCTTCCCTCACGCATCGTGTAATACGTCGCAAAGGTCGCCGTTGTGAGTAGTATAGAGCAGAGCGCATATATCCAAATCATTGGACTGCCCACAATCTTGCCAGTCACAGAGTCCATATTAAAAAAGTTCATCCCAAAGAACGTCTGTCATGTAAAGGGTTTAGCAAGCTACAATAAGCGTCCAGGCGACGGAGGAAAGGAGGGGTGGGTGATCAGGCGGGCAAGCAAACACTCACAGCTATAAACGAAGGCGGCAAGTAAAGCAGCGTCAGCGTAGTAATAAACACCACCGACTTATTCAACCTTAGCATATTCTCATTTTGCTTCCTGGAATCGAGCTGTTCCCGGAAGGAGAGCGTGTTGGCCAGCAGCTGCGACGTCGTTTGCGCGCGGTGGTGCAGATCCGTCGCCGTTCGCGAAAAGGCTCTGCATTGACGGCGAAAGTTTTCGAATTCTGATGCTGATTCTTGTAGTACTTCGTTGTCTGCGTTCATCGCCAACCCTTTTGGCAGCAACCGGTGGGTGCAGAGGGCAGATAGCTCCGTTAGCGTCTCCTCTGACGATTCTAGAGTCGACGAGATTGTTTGGAACCGGTTCGCGAGGCTGGCTAGTTTCGTGAGATGGCTTGGTTTCATTGTGGAGGGTTCGTCGATGAAGTTGATGAGTGTTTTATACGACTGTTTGTAGCATCAAGTATTAGACTTGTAGAGCTGAATTGAAGGGGCGGTTCAAGGAACCGAATCTCTCACCAACGGTAGAAATTGCCGCTCCATTGAGGCGATGTAGAACCTCCATGCGGGCAGATACGTCTCGAAGACGAGTTTATGCAGCCAGACGGGATCGTCCGTCTCGGTCTCGGGATCTGCTGCGACACTGCTGGATAGCCATTCCATGGCTCGGCTGCTGGCTTGTGAATTCGGCGTCGGGTTGATCATGATGAAGAGACTCTGACGAGAGGCCGCGTCGCAGCGGTGGTATACACCCGTCTGACGAATTACCCACGTATCCTCTTCGGATTTATACTCTGGGTATCGGATCGTGTATGATGCTTCTGTTTAGATCATTAGCCCCCCCCTTCATGCCTCTTACTCAACGAATCTCAGGTCCGGATCTTTCAAGTCAAAAGCAAATGGTTACACACCAGCCACGGATCCCTTTCGCCGCTCGGTATACGGCATACAAAAGACCTCTTCCACGTTCATGTTTCGCGTATAGAAGCACGAGACGATATCTCGTAGCGAGTTGTTCAAGCTGAGTTTCTCCATGATGAGCTCGAACATGGGGAGGGTGATTTGTAGTGGCCTCCATGAGTTGCGCTGGCAGATTGAGCTTTTGCTCAACGTTAGCAAGGGTTGGAGGTTGAGAAGGCACCCGCGACGATGACCATGAATAGGCGGAATGAACGTACATGAAGCGATGGACGTGCTCTCCATTTTGGTGCTGTATGTCTTCTAGGTGATTACTCAACTCGTCAAAGTTCGTGATGGCATGCTGCTGGCGCTTGACTTTGGCAGCCCCCTCATTTCCATTCTCATCGTCATCACCCTCCTTCGCTGGTGAGCGCGTCACGCTGCAGATTCGGATGGGTTCGATGACATCTTCGACGAAGCACTGTTGTTGCGTCGGCGCCATGGAGGTTACAGGACGACGTTGGTGTAACGGGTAAGGCTGAGGTAAGTAAGTATGGAAGAATCTTGATGGTCGGGTTGCTTTCTATTGCTTATTATGTACCCTGATCCGATTCCGCGGTAAGGCTATGAGAACTGTCTACCCCAAGGGCGATCAGCCGCCTGTCTATCTGCCTGTTCCTCCCGAGTCCTAGCCAATGCTGACGCTTGCTGGCATGTCACCATGCTTTGCACTGCCCATCCATCCCCTCACTCCCCACCACCCCCATCGGTAAAAGTCATTGATCCCGAACGGCACTATCAACTCTCGTCAGCATGATTTTTCCATTTTCGATTCCCTCTGGCAGGATTTTACTCTATCGTCTCCTACAGTCTCCATCAGCATCAACTCACGAAAATACATCTTTTTCTATTTAGAGGGGGGGGGGGGGGCTTGAGCAAAAGAACATACCGTATCAACTTCCTTCGGCGTCTTGAAATGCCAAACATCGTCTCTCATCTATTGTCAAAACAAAGATCCCAAGTCAACCTCAACCTCAACCTCAATCGTAACGACGACGCGACACAGCGACGAGGGGCGAGGGCATACCTCAATCTCAAAATCAGTGTGCCCCGGGAACATCTTCTCGAGGAGCTGCTGGAGGCTGGCCTTCTTTAGGTACCGACTGGTGACGTTCTGAGCGACTTGCTGTTGTCGTTGCGTCATGATTGCGAATGGTGAATTTTTCTGGCTTGCTATGAGGTGGGTAAGTCTAGTTCATCGCTATCGAGATAAACTTATCACAAAAGGCTTTGGGGAGTGAAGACGAAGTTAAGAAATATAGCGTTGCGGGTGCAGCAAGACGCGCCGTTCTGGGGATTCAGGGAAGGGGAAGAGTCATCGGCGTTGGTGGCATTGTGCTATATTCCTTCAAAAACCCACACAGCCACCTCCAAGGAAAAACAACTCACCGAAGAAGCTTCAAGTGCTTGCTGCCTGTTACCGTAAGTTCTACATCCCTCCCTATAGGCGGTTTCGCGCTCCGTCATACCATTCCTACGTAAGTATGTTGCTGCGCAAGTGTGTGAAAAGGCTATAGGCTGTGTCGGGGTTACACCCACATGACGAAACCCAGCCCATCCCATCCCATCGACCTGGATCGACGCTCAGCAGATCAAATCCCATCAATCCTACAGAAACTTGCATATTTCGCCCACTGGAGAAAACACCCCCGAGCTGAGCCCCAGAGATTTAAGTCCTGGGGACCCCCCAAGTCCTAGGGAGTCTTGTGCTATTCTTGCTGGGGGGGTGTAAGACCTCGAAGTGCAATGGGGGGGTCCAACCCCCGTCATCCGGGGGCCGGGCATTCACTGACGGGGGGAAAAAGTAACGGAATTTAAGTACGAATGCAAGCAATTTGTGAACGGAAGAGGTACCACGGGTGTATTGTATCAATAAGCATCACTTCGTGCAACTAACTACTGCTGCCTTGTGAGCGCCCGAGTAGGCCATCAGCCGAGTCACTCGCGGACCGGACAACTTAGTCTGAACTCGAGCCGGTCACGCGCAAGATCAATCAAGCGAGGCGCGAGGTTCAAGTAAATTCGGGTATCATTTGAGTTGGTTTCCTAACTAAATCGCTGAAGAGAAAACGCCTCGAAATTGCCCGCTACTGGCTATCTTCGTTGGGTTTCAAAAACCTCAAATGACGTGGGATAAAATAACGGTCTCCAACATGATGGGGGGATATCTTGTACCAATCTATCCCGACGAACCAAGCGCCACGCGATGCACCTCTCACATTAATCCGCCTTCTGAGCTTCTCCTGAAATCCCCTTCCTGCTTAACCCACTCGAACACATCTTCCCTCAACTTGAACCGCTCTCCTCCCGGCCACTGCTATAGCCGCTCTCCGCACCACCTGCAGTGGCGGCTGAACTGCCAGCGGCAACTGGAAGTTCGGCACTGTTGCTGCGACCTCTGGCAGTTCCGGCGGCCGCAACCGCACTGCTGCTACTGGTGCGGCGGAGATCCCGAGGGGGAAGGGGGATCTTGAAGTCGGCTCCGCTATCTTCATCTTCTACAACGCCTGCCATCTCATCTCCATTTTCCGGCTCGCTGTCGCCCTCGTCGCCGCTCGACATCTGTGCATCGTCAGGATACGGTCTGTCAAAAGCAGGGGCGTGAGCTCGTGTAACGCCCCCTACCTTTGAATCTTCGTCCGAGTTGGACTCGTCATCATCATCGTCGGAGCTGTCGGAGCTGTCGCTGTCAAAAGCGAAGTACAAACCCGGTGGCGGTAAAGGCGTAGGGTTAAGCTTCCGAACAGATCTAGACGTGTATTCGATGTTGATCGGCGATTTCTTGCGGGATTCGGACTTTGCTGATTTTGCCTGGGACCCAGAAGACCCCAATGGCGATGTGATTCTGCTCATCAGCTTGGAAAATTCCTCAGATTGTAAGCTGATCGTCGTTTCCTGCTTCACATCCACTTTCGGCCTCTTCGTGGTGGCGACCACAACAAAGTGATCATCGGGAATGACACCACCCAGACCGCAGGCATCCAGCTTGCTGCCGACGGCGTCTTGAGGGACATTGGACCAGGGGAAGTCGGCCTCGATGCCGCCATCGCTGTCGTCTGAACCGTTTTCCGTTGTGACAGCCACACTGGGGGCTTTACGGCCTTCAACTAGAGGTCGGTACGGGAGCGCCGAGCCCGATTCAGTGCGGCGAGGAAGGTCAGGTCTGAGGAAACCAGCGCTGGAGGACAACTGTTGGTCCTGGCCAGATGAGGTCATGTATGAAGCGGGGGACGCATCACCAGGATCGCCAGAGAGATCGGTACAGAATGGAGCACCACTGTAGTAAATGATAGCACCATCCAAACGACGCCTCTTACGGCGCGAGGATCCCGATCCGTCCCATCGTGACTCTCCATTGTTGCTTTCTTCCACGGCTCCGTACGATGATCCAACATCATCTAGCGAAGTTTGTTCAGCAGATGACGATTGATGCACAAACAGTGGCTTGTAGTGGAAGGTGTCCGCCGATGGTATTGGATACTCTGGTTTCGATTGGTCGGATGCGTTCTTCCCATATGAAGTGGAATAAGAACCATTCTTCCCCGAACGCAGCTTGCGCTTCTTGCTCTGATTGTCTGGTTGTGCCTCATCGGATTCGTCGGACCGACTGAGCTGGGAGGTATTGCCGGAGCTGTCGCTACTAAATTTGGTTCCCTCTGTACCTCCGCGCCATCTGATTTTGCGGCCATCGTGCGAAAGCTGGAATTTCGTGCTCTTCTCGGACACCGCGCTCCTGATGTAGTCGGGGGCAACGTTGAGCATGTGCAGTTGTGCCATATTGCAAAGCAAGTTCAAATAGACCCAGCCATCGGCATCCGGGGACACGTCGCCATCGGTCATTAGCGCCGTCAAATGAGGCGGGGCGAGACCCAAGTGACGGATGTAGTCCATGTTGGCGCTCGGGTTTTGCATGCGATCCGGGTCAAGATCGAGCGGTCTGGTGGGACGTTGCTCTGGCGGCGGCGGATCCGGCGGTGAAATGCTGCTTGCATCTGCCCCGGCTGCCCAATTGCCACCAGAATCCCGTTGATCGCCGTTCGAATTTGATGATTCGCCATCTTTGGCGACGTTCTTTTTCCCATCTGATGCAAGTATGGGAGCCTCGCGAGAAGGCTCGCAGTAACCGGCGGGCACATTAGAGGGCCCGTGATGAGTGGTGGTGTTGCCGGTTGTCGGCTCCACCATAATCGGGGCGTATGAGGCGATGTTTGCTGCGGACATGGGCTGCGGACGAGCGAGATTCCGTCCGCTGATTCTACCCGTGAAAATCTGCTCCAGCCGACGGACGATCAACTTCTTCCGGTCTTTTTCCGTCAGAACCATATGTCGCGGATATAATCCCTCCGGAATGTCCTTCAGGTAATTCTCCACCTTCTGCTCCGATGACTTGGTTCTGGAGCTAATGGATGGCCGGGCGAGATGTGTGCCGGATGAGTTTGCCCCAGTTGACATCGAAGCATATGCACTGTCAACGGGCCTCGAATGAGAGCCTGAAGAAGACGATGCATGCTTCGAAGCGTAACCAGAACCTGAATGCAAATGAGCGTTGTGCCTCGACTTCTTTCGAGACGACGAAGCTTCAGCACTGGGGGTACTGCTTTCCAAGCCAGACGCAAACTCGCGTAGTGTACTCTCCAGCTCCCTCTTCTTCCGCTTGGGAAGCCCATGGACCTTGATTTCGAATAACTTGTCTCTCTTCATCAACTCTGGTCCTTTTTGCTTGTAACGCTTCAATTCGTCCCTCAGCCTCTTGATCTCAACCGTCAGATCGTCGATTACGCTTCGATAGTCGTCAGCGCTGCTGCTATGCGTGGCGCTCGGCTTGTTGGCCCCGATCATCATTCCGTCCATCGGTGGTCTCAGATGCGTCGGGTAGGCCGAGGGTTTCGCGTCATCGTTGGAGGAATCGCTCTCCTTCTGGAAGAACGGGGGATCGACTGAATCTGAATTAGACCTTCTCCCAAAAAGGTGGCCCAAGTGCGCTTACCGTCCATTGCGCCGGCATACGTTGTCGTGGGATTCTCATTGTTTTGATCGAACCATTTCTCTGGGTCGCTAGGGCCGGTATTGTGGCTCTCGCCGGAGGACTGTCTGTTAGGTGATGATGAAGACTCCGGGCTGGCAGCGGCCAAGGCTCGTTTTAATGCTGCTTTCTCAGTTGCTTCGTGTGCTAATCGGTGGTTGCGCAGTGTGATTGAATGCTCAGGCGAACTTCGGCGTGGTAGCGGGTGTCCATTCGGCGACTTCGGTGGGCGCCCGCCTTCAGATGTAGGCTGGGCGTCGGGCATCTTGGGCACCTCAAGACGCTTAGCTGAATTGGCAGATTCTGCGTCGGTGCTCGCGTTGCTATGCGAAGTACTCAGACGACATGGAGTCGGAGTTCGGGTTGTCGTCGTGCAAGCCGTTTTGTCGGTAGTGACCACTTCGACGAAGTGGATGATGGGGGGAATGTTGAAGCTGGATTTCGAAAGGAATACTGTTTGTAGGCTGCGGATTAGTTGGTGTTGGATGGCTGCTCAAGTGTTGGACCCTGAAATTGTGTAGGTACAAGAGTGTATATGTCGAGTGGGCAGGGGGGCTGTGATTGGTCGAGGCATCGATCGATCGATCGAATGCTGGGAAAAAGGTATGACGACAACCTCCGTCAGAAGCCGACACGGTGAGAGGGTAGCACTCACGTTAGGAGGAGAAACACGCACAGTGTAAGACTGCAGCTGATTTCAATCCTGAGGATCAATGTGTTTCCACAGCCCGTTTGTCGTTCTGCCGCGCAGTTCGCGATGTGTCGCGAAAGCTGAGAAGCTCAGCTCAGGGTGAGGTTTGGAGAGAGTACGTGGTATTGGTGTTGGTGTTGGTGGTTCGAGAGGAGCAGCCCGCTCTCGTGACCTTTTTGCCACCAAGGCCGCGACTTTCTTCCTCGACGGACAGCGGTCTTGTTGAGAAGAAACTTGAAAAGACGATTCGTTTCGCAGGACAGCTAAGTATCTCTTGTTCGCAGCGCAGGGCAGGGCAGGCGTCTGACTTGTGGGTAATGGCAAATGCAGAGCCCAGGGCTCGAGGAAGAAAAACATGTCTGTCGCCGGGATAAGAGCCAAAATGTATGGGGTGAGGGCACGTTCACGCCGCCTGGGTCGCTGGTTGAATGGTGCGGGGCGGACAAGGTATGGCCCCACAGCAGCTCGCAAGCTGCTTGGTCTGATCTCCAGGACCTGACAGGGTTCTCGGGATCAGAGTCAATCGAAGAGGCAAGTGGGGCGCTAGTTACCGCGTAGAGAAGGGGTGTGGCTTCTCAGCGTCTTTTTGGCAGAGGGCAGGGGGTGTGTCAATAAGAAGACCCGAGGACAGTCGCTCTTGCTCCCCTGGTTGCTGGTCACTGGTGTCGTCTCAGTGGGTGTATGGTTGTGGTGTGTGCCGGCCCCCGACGCGGCCTGCAGAGTCCAGACACAATCCAGACAATGGTGGCAGGCCATCGCAGGGCTGGAAAGGGCGATGGACGCACCTAGGCCTTTGGGCAACTTTGGATGGTGGTGCACCTTGAGGAAGGAAGGAAGGTCCTCCGGCTCCGTACCTCCTTCCAGAATTCAGACTGCCACCGGCGCTGCATTCCTTCCTCTGCATTAGTCCGAGCCTTCACCTTCAAGACCTTGTTGCTCCAAACACACATCGCCCGCCATCCCAGTCACGTGGACGTTCAGGTGCATCTTCAACTTGGGTGGCAATCGCCAGTATGTAAACGCCGACAGCCACAAGAATTGGGTCAGGAAAAACCTTCTTTTTACCTTGGTTCTCTCAACGCTGCCCGGGTACATTACCAGGCAAGTCGCTCGTCGCGCCTGGCCCCCCTGTCGAGACCCTTGGTTTGAAGGCGGTGGCAGGTACCTCCCTACCTTGCATTTTACCACAGCAAGAGCATCTAAGGTAAGGTCCCGGCCGTTACGGGCTACAGGTTCTTCCAACTTTCAATCAAGCCCAGCTCTTTGCCGCGTCTGTGGATATCATCAGGTCGCTTTTATGGACTAGAAAAAAAAGGACGAGTAGACCCGACTGCGTATTCCCAATCATTTCAATAGCATTTGAACTGCAGAGCGAGACCAGCATCCTTAGTCTCACTTGATAGCATGCATCCAGCGTTCCATAGTGAAGGCTTTTTTTTTTTTTCTCTTCCCACGTACTCTGTAGATTGTTTTGACAGCGGTTGCAGCTATCCGTGCACAGCTGCACACACCGTGACCCCTAGGTATCCCCCACAGAAATTTCATGGAGCTTCTACGACCAGGACCGAGCACAGCGCAGCGAGTGACATGCCATGCTCGTGGCCGAGGCAGCAACGAGTGACATTCATCCCCAGCCACCATGTCACTTTTTTTTCGGCCAATACGGATTGAGAAGGCATAGCTTACGTCACGCCACACCCACTCCCCTTGGGCGTGTCTTGTTCCGCCTGAGGTCCAAAATGCGATTCACAACGCTGAACTTCCATACAACCACCATCCTACGAATCTCAAGTCGAGAAGAATGGTTCAACTGATGATGAATATGTATACCACATTGAAGGTAATTTCGGCCAAAACATATTTCGCGCTTTGGACAGGAAGACAGCGCGACTGAGGGTCTGTTCATTATCCCGGTCCGCGTCCACCGTGGACAACGAACAAGTCGGAACAACAGAGCAACGAAGGGCCATCATGATCCATTCGAATATCGCAAAAGCTCGCCCTCATTCGTCAAAATGAAAACCACGAGTTCGCGAGTGAGCTACGACAGCCAATACTCATGCAGCACACGGGCCGCCAGACGACCAGTCATGTCAAGGGGAGTCCGCATTATCATGAAGCCGCGATCTCGCTTTTGCTGTGTCATCGACGCAGTTGGCGGCCACGGGCACCAGCCCGGCTATGCCAACTTACCGTATTATCTGACCGTTTCCCTCCCAAAAATTCCGACTACGCAAATCCAAAAATCTCGGCTCAATTTTTTCATCATGGCGCGCGAATGCATGGCCTCCCTTACAATTCTTCATCGCCGATTCACAGTGTTCTTCAACGGAAACGGCTTCGCCTAACAACATACCTTGCGACGCAGTATTGTCTAGCATAGGGACAGATGCGCACACTTACAACCAGATACGGCCATGGTCTTGGATCAACCAACCACAATTGCAAACTCGATGCTCGAACAAGAATCTATTGGCCTGTCGCATCAGGATCAGCTCACCGCTGTAGACAAAGCCGTCTTCATTCCGAAAAGAGATGTCCGACACGATCATCAGTTGTCAATTCTGCGAGTTCCATTCCCTTCTTCAATCTTCCTTGGATCACCCCCCGACTCCTCAAAACCTACTGCCCACTGTGCATACCTCTCGCAGTAGTATGTACGGATACCCTTCACATTTCACCATCACATCCAGTCGCCCGTTGGGCCAGGTTCGGAGGTGTGATCGACCTGACCAGTCAGAGCCTCTGGAAGTACGTCCGGCTCCATCTGACGGTTGCTCATTGGTCACTCGCACTCCCCTCTTCCGTCATTCCCGAGCTACACGCAGGGCAACCCTGACACCAAGGGCACGTCACCCCTGACTGCTTCACCCCCCCTCGGAGCTTGGAGGTGGTTCAAGGACAAGGACAGCCCAACACTGTGTGACATCCTTTGCTGACTTGACTCTCTCTTACGCAGTATTTGGTAGGTAGCTAGCTGTTCAGCTGTCCACTGCTGGAAGTCGCCACCGACTCTCACGACTGGTCTGGCCAGATTTGCAGGTGTCGCTACCTTGTTCGAAGATCATTATCGATTTCCGACACAGACTCCGCATATGTCAGCCAGGCACGCCTGTCCAAGGCGCAGGATGCCGCTGCGTCTCTTTCTCGAAATTCAGGGTCCGGCGATCACAGAAGTCCGTCCACCTTCACAAATCCCACGACCCACGATTATGACGGAAATCAAGGCAGACTCGCATTACCATATGCAACCCTGATTCTTCTTTGCAAAAACCCCTCGCCAGTCCCCGACTCTTTTTGTGCAGCGGTATGACGTCAGATGGCCCTCAGCAGTTGTGCGGCGAAGTGCCGACGGCGAAACACAGCATTTTTCCAGAGTTGTACGACAGTCGTCGTCTTGGATGGGTCTGCCGGCCGTCAATCGGCGCAGCCGGGCATCGTCGACGGGGGAAACACTACAAAGACAGGCCACAGCACGGAGCGATCCACACCGGCAGCTCCGTCTTGAGCACCGGACACCGGCCTCTGGACACCTCTACTTCACCGGCGCTACCCGAAAATCCACAGCCAATCAGTAACGCCACCAGTCGACTTTGGAATAAGCTTTGAGTCCCCGATCTTTGCGAGCCGCATCGCTAGCGTGGATCGGGAGCACACAAGGACCCTTCGTGCAGGGTCGTTCCCCCTTTCTCGCCCGTCGCATCTCCCGACCGCACCTTGATCGCCCATTCCAGCCACTTGGAAGTTGCCACAAACAAAGGGGAGATGGTATCTTCGATCAAATTCGCGGTCCAAAACCATAGCAAAACCTGGAAACCTGTCAAATTCCCATTCCCACCACCATCTTTCCGCATCTCACGGTTTATGCAGATCTAGCAGAATCTCATTCGATACCCTTCACAATGCCTCGATTCACCATCGATGTGGATCTACCCGCCTAGACCCTCGCCTCGGGCACCACGCGCACGACATGGAGGGGAGTGTAATTCGAAAAGCAGTAAACCCACCAAGAGCTAGGTACACTAGACCATTGGACCGGAGGCGAAGCCATCCCCTGGCGACACAGACAGTAGTGTACAGTACTGTCTACTGGTAAACTTGAGCTGTCGCGTGCCAACAAGACTTACCACCCTTGTTGCCCATGTGGCCCTTCACTTGCCCCGGTGCTTCTGCTCCGCGAACGTCTGTCCCTCGCAAGAACGTGAGGAGCTCTTGCGGGCGCTTGGCAGCTAATCTGTTGCAGGCGACTGTTTTTCACCCATGCGGAGCGAGTAACGAGGTTACTCATCATTCCTTAGGCCTCTACTGGACCAGACTATTTACGGCTTTGCTTGCGCCATTCCCCACCTCCTATTCGATGGGGGAGATGCTGGAGATTCGGCCCGGAGCAAACTTGACAAGCACCAAGGGCACCCGTCAGTTTTGTGACAGATCAAAAGTTTGATCTCTCAGATGGACCAGGATTGAGGCAATCTTCCCGTTGGCCCAGTGGCGAAGCAACGGTCGTGGCCCAACTGGGGCACTACGACTTCTCCTCGCTGTAGTTTGTCTGCACTGCGGGCTCTTGCCGACGCGAACGGAGCTTAGGGTTGTCCTGGCACACTCACGTCGACAACCCGCGACCAATCACCTGTTGCAATCGCTTCAGATTGTGCTCTGGGAACCATTCATATAGCCGAAAGGCCTCCACCAGAGAACAAACATGGCAAACGTTGTTGGTTGGCCGGGATCCTCTTTTTGTAGGGGACGAACTGGAAGTTTGCAGATCCGGCAAACAGTGGTATTAATGTTCCATGGGCTCTGCCTGGGTCAACCCCATAGCCTTCCCCTTGTCAAATCTGCCAAGCACATACAAGCAAGTGAGCCCGATCTTTAGATCGGCGTTGCCAAACTCAGTCGGCTGTCGCATTGCCTCCCCCCCCCCCCCCAACCTAACCATCATCTGGGGAACTGCCCACGAACGAGGCAGAAAAAGCATACTGTGTAGAAGAACGCTTGTTCGGGTTCACTGCAGAGATACAGGGAGCGCGCTAAGAGGAAGCCTTGTTTCCCAACCTAATCTCAGGTTTGCCGCCCATCTGTTCTTTCCTTGGGGCATCTGATTTACTGCTCATTGGCCACTGAGGATTCTCGGGAGATCGGTCCTTGCTAGGGAAATCTGGTGCTACGGTGCCGCAAAGCTTCCCCCGAAGCACCTACTCGGCGGGGAAGAGACGGCGTCCCGGGCGCGGCCGCCACGAACGACGAATTGTGGCGCCCTCCTGATTCTTGTCCAACAAGCGTTGGTGGCGAGAGACTGAGAAGAGGCTCGGTGCGACCCATTATCCTCCCGCA